GCCATTCTTTCATTCTTCTGTCCTTCGGGAAAAGGATTAGAAAATCCGAAGGGTGTAACAGAGTTGTAAGATTTTCCAGCAGATATACAAATGATTTTATTGCTTCTATCTGTTTTATGACACCAGGGTCTGCTGAAATTGGTCAAGTTTCACAAACAGAAATGAATTTATAATGCAAAATAACTCTGTGAAGAACTGGGAAACCATTTTTGCAGTACGCATCAAAATTAAAAGAAAAACAATGAAAATGAAGTATAACTCTTTTTATAAAATTTTCCAAATATTCCGTTATAATATTCGACACTATGTTCTTTGCTGATAAAAAACAAAATTAATTCCATCAATTTGTCATAAGAATTGAGTTAGATACAGAATTTTTAAAGCACGATGATTAAAATTGTTTAAGCGCCATAACAGGAACAGACATTTGAACACAGAGTAGCAACGGACATTTAAACGCGCACCAGCAGCGGGCATTTAAATAAACTCTGGCCAGCACAAGCTTACTACCATTTAAAAAGTCCGGCGTTTAAATGTTAAATTACGAACCGGTAATGCAAATTGTTATTGTATCTTGTATTAATGCTATGAATCTGAGAGTTAGATTTAAATTGTTCTCTGTTTTTAATCATAAACAGTAAGAGAGAAAATATGTACTGTAATTGGTAGGGAAATTTGTTCAATTTCCTAAACAATTCCCTGCAAGAGCCTCTGCTTCTAGAGTTAGATTTATTATTCTATTTACCCTTTTTAGCCTAAATATATTAATACTAGGGGGAATTGCCCAGAAAATTATACTATAGATCATAACGGAATGAAAGTATTAACAATAAATCATTCTTGTTGTTTCTTGTAACATGTAAGGTCTAACAGTCCTGTAAGATTTGAGGCTTTCACGGCGGTGGCTATGAAGAAAGCAGTCTTCTGGGATTTGGCACCGTGTATAAGTGATGTTAAACGACGTTTCGGAGGAACGTATCTCCTCCATCTTCAGGGTAGAAGAAAATATAATAATTCTGCAAGAGAAGATACCCTGAGAACCGGTAATCTCACGGTCTCTTCGCTTGCAGAATTCTTATATTTTCTTCTACCCTGAAGATGGAGGCGATACGTTCCTCCGAAACGTCGGTTAACACCACTTATATACGGTGCCAAATCCCAGAAGACTGCTTTCTTCTAACAGTCCTGATTGCAAAACCTAATTCAGACATAAGCCAGTTTAAATGTCCTTTCCACAACAACATATTATAGATAATTAAACCAACAAATTTGGTATTATTACATTTAACTATCTGTTATCGTAGTCAATATGAATATCCACTGTACAGCTGTCCTTAGTAAAAAAAAAATTGTACGAAAATATATTTTATCAAAATTTAGTGTCAATGAATTAGCTTTAAACCAATCATTCATGTTTTTAAATGTTTGAATAATACTGTTTTCATAATCTAAATGGCTACAAATCTTCATAATTTTGCTGGTGTCATCTACAAAAAGAACGCGTTTGGATTGACTAATTATAACGTTTAGCAAATCATTTATATATAAAAGAAACGATAAAGGTCCCAGTATCGATCCTTGGGGAACACCATTACCAACTTTGTACCAAGCGGCCTCCGTAGTCTAGAGGTAACGTTCCCACCTCATGACTTGTGGTACGCGGGTTCAAACCCGGCGGAGGTCGTCGAATTTTTAAGGGCGGAAAAATTCAGGGAACAAGTCCTCCGGGAGGGACTTTAAGCCGTGTGTCCCGTGTCATAGCTTTACGGCACGTAAAAGAACCTCATATCTCCAAAGGAGGTCACTGAGCCAAATTCAAGAACTTTCCCGCCCAACAGTAGTCCCTAACGCCTCTGATAGATGGGGAAAGCATTATAGACAAAACCAAGCAAGTGGAGGCCGAACTCGCTTGCTCGGCGGGAGTGATGGTACGCACCAATATCGGCAGGGTATAGAGACTGGCAGAATATCATAGAGGGAAGTACAATGGACCAATATTGGTCTAAGTGTTTGGGGAAACCCACCCTCTCCAATAACTAACTTTGTACCAGCTGGAATGAATAAGCCAGTTATTGAAGAAAGCAGTATTCTGGGATGTGGTACGGTGTAGATGTGGCGTTAACCGAAGTTTCGGAGGAACGTATCGCCTCCATCTACAGGATAGAAGGAAATAATAAGAAATCCTCAAGCAAAGAGAGAGGGGAAATAGGTGCAAGCAGACTATTGTTGGAATTAAACTCAGCTATATGAGGGGGAGAAGTCTACATGGGAAATCATTGGAGAAAAAAGAAGGAAAGGGGAATGGTCTGGGACAGGAGCAAGGTTATAGCAGGTATAGGATATTGTGTCGGGAGAGAAAGGCAAGGTTAATGAGAGGGCGTTAACCCCTAAGCTGGGGGGTTGCTATGTGAGTCGGTCATAGACTGTGACGTTCTGAATCTGGCGTCATGTGCCGGAGGGAGTTTAGGGAACAGATGAGAAGCTTCCATGACTTGTGAGACAAAACCCCACCTCTCTGTTCATATTGTCGGGTTGGAGTTCAATCTCAATGGCTTCCCTAATGATGCAATCCATATATCGGGTTTTGTTGGCAAGGATGGAGGTATTCTAAAGCTGAATGTGGTGTCCCAAATCGATGCTGTGTTCAGCCACAGCTGACTTGTCTGGATGTTGGAGACGGATGTGCCGCTGATGCTCCTTCAACCTCATGTTCACGGAGCGACCCGTCTGCCCAATTTAGACCTTGTCGCACTCGCATGGGATACTGTATACAGCCGGTGTTCTCAGTCCGAAGCTATCTTTGACCGGCCGCAGGAAACTGGATAATTTGTTTGGTGGCAGACCCACTGATTTGATGTTGCGCCGGTACAGCACTCTGCTGATACGCTTTAATATAGTCCCGACATAGGGAAGAAAGGCGACTGAACCCGTATTATCTTCAGGCCGGCTGATATTTGGCCGACGGTTGAGAACTCTGAGGATCTGCCAGTTGTATCCGTTCTTCCTGAATGCATCGCCCAGGAGCACCAAATCCGCATGTACGCGGTCTTGATCACAAGAGCTCTAGCCCTGTGCACCAATGTGGAAAGTGCAGCTTGCTTGTTGTAAGGGTAGTAGAGGTGGGACGCAGCGTTAAGGTAGAGGTTTGTATGGGTGGATTTGCAGTATACTCTGTGACTATGCTAATATGTTATTACTCATTATATGTTATTTCAGTTTTGCATATATAACCTTATCAACAAAATTTGATAACTTTGTCAGTAATGACATAGGTCTGTAGTTAATCATAATAGTTTTTCTTCTGTTCTTAAATAATGGTTTTATTTCTGAATATTTCAACCAATTGGGAAGACACCAGTTGGACGGGTGTTAGAAATATGTTAATTGGGAGCTAATGAAAGGAGCGTTGATGTTTAATTTCTACCTTGAATTTCATCAGAACCACTAAAATTTTTGGTCTTAATGGTTTAACTATATTTTCAAATTCGTTAGTAGAGGTATGGTTGAATTTAATTTTTGGTAAGTGGATCGTGAAAGCTTGAGACACATGATTTGAAAATGACTGAGAGTCTGTTCTTTGAGCAACGCAAGGCTGTATTGAAGTGGTACTGGAAGTACGAAAATATTATAGAGGTACAGCGACAATTGCAGAATGAGTTTGGAACTCAGCCACCAACACGTCTAATAATTGCCCGTATTCGGGATAAATTTGAAACCGACGGTACTGTTCGTGATCATCGCTCGGTTTGAGTGATCCTTTCTTCTTTGAAGGTACCCTAACTGGTCAGGTGTATCTCGATATTCTTCAGACATCGATTTCCCTTGCCATTCGAGAGCTGTTTGGAGATGAGAGATTTTACACACAACAAGATGGTGCTACACCTCACTACCATCGAGATGTCAGGGCGTACTTGGATGACCGTGGATGACACTCTACCTGGACGACGGATAGGTCGAAGGGGTTCTATTGAGCACCCACCACGGTCTCCAGATCTAACACCTCTCGACTTCTACCTATGGGGAACCTTGAAGGATGAAGTTTATCGACAAAAGCCAGCTATACTGAACGCGCTACGAGAAACCATCGGAGCGTCGTGTGAAGACATAACACCGGACCACCGGACACACTGACAGCCGTAGGTCGCTCAGCAGTTCGGCGGCATCGATACTGTTTAGCCGCTGATGGTGGTTACTTCGAACACATACAATAACTCTCTCTCTATCTCTCTCCGCGTAAGAATTGTAAGTACATATCATTTTGTTCCAAAGATATTGACTATTAAAGAGTGAGTACTTTTTTGGACTCCTCTGTAGTTTGAAAATAATTATTTAAATAATCTGTTATCACATCATGATTATCGGTTAATTTCCCACCAATGTTTAAAAACTGTGTCTGATTTTATAATGCTCCACGTGGTTTTCATTTTGTTATTAGAATTATAAATTAATTTATTATAATGAAGTCTTTTAGCTGCTTTACTAACATTGGCCGAAATTTTACAATATGTTTTATAATTATATTTTGGATCTGGCTCATACATTGCTGAATCCCCGGAAAAATAAAGAATTTTATTCGGCTGTGCTCACTGGATATGCATCCTGGAGCAAAACAGTTCTTACTTTTCCCCATTTATCCCGCACGAAATAATATAAAAATTATAAACAAAATCACAGTACACTCGGAGTTTCTTGAGATCCTACAGTCTTTTAGGCTACACCGAAATATGCTTAAAATACAGAAATAGGATTTCGATTAAATATCGTAGCAACACAATTTTACTTGATGTTTCTTTTTAATTTCAATGGTAATCGACCAACGCCCAAAGTTTTCAACGGAACTTGGGGATTCCCTGATTGGGTCAAACTTATGCAATTCGATAAATTGCGATAGGTGTAATATGATTGGTACCCGACCGTTCCAGACTATCTAGTTCAGGTGAATGAGTACAGATGGCAGTTCTGCGTGTTTCTTCTTCTGTTTTCCCAGTTTCACTTTCCTGCTTGCCAGACTGTCCATAAATCCGTGCTCACCATCTCACGACCGCTCACGACTTGTCCTGTGAGGTTATGTTGTATTATTGTCCTTATTGCTATTATTTTGCCACTAACTCAGTTTGAGAGAACGTAATATAAAAGTAGCATATGTGATTTACATACGTGAAGCCTTCGAAGAGTTAAAGCATGTTTGTAAAAAATCAGATGTTACTTGTACCATTTGGATTAATATTCCTATACAGTTTAGCGGTTCCAGTTTTGTCTTACGTCATTGAATTAGGTAACTGATATTAGTAATTTAATTAGATGAAAGTGGACTAGTATAAATATTGGTGGATGAGCTATTGAAAATCTAGTGTAAGTCCTAGAGCGACAGCTATGGCATTATGTTTGAGATTACGACAGTGGTTTCATTTTTGTTATAAGTGTGAAAGAACACCTAGATATGTTGAACTACTTGCTTTCACATCTCATCAGACAGTTTTTTGTATACTGATATGTTTAAAAAATGTAATAGAACCAATAACATACTATTGTACAACTTAATATTGTACCCTAGACAAAGCTCTCTTTTATCTGTATTATTACTGAGTTTTTTAACATTATTCATCGTCCAGTTATTTTTACTTGAAAAAAGTGTAGTCAGTTGGGCCCAATAGACAGAGCAAGTCCCTGTTGTCAGACCTGTTCAGATTTCCTAAACTTTGGAGATATACCAGCTCCATAGTGGTTATGTAAATAAGATCCAAACGTTAATGATGATGGTATATTAGTACCATTATTGAGTTTTTGGACATTATCCACCATCCTGGTTTTTATTCAAAACATGTCTCGAGATAGGGACTAGCTATGATTGGGCCCAACTGAGTAGGTTTTTACCTGAAGACAGGCAGAACCCAGTCCTCAGAACATTTTTTAGTAAAGACAGGACAATGGATAATGTCCAAAAAATTCAATAATTGTATTAATATACCATTGTCACAATATTTTAGGTTTTATTTATCTGTCCTGTTTGTCTGCAGGGCCAGTGAACAAACTTCTTCGATGCCCTGGATTGTACTGTGGGCGGCAGATATTATCAAATGGTAGCTGGAGTAATTGTGGCGCATGTCCACGTGGCTATAGGACAAATGTTTCATCGGCATGTATTGAGTGCAATGACAGACCCGAATTTTATGATTGGCTATATCTTGGTTTTATGGTATTACTTGCACTTGTTTTACATTGGTTCTCTATAGATACAGCTGCTAAGAGACGAAGGTACTTTCTAATTAAATAATATTATAGGCTTCATCTGTGCCTGAACCTCCAGACTATGAAATCATAGTAGTGGAAGGAACTTGTGTTAGGGAATGAGTAGTTTTGATATTATGGTCATAAGCTATCACAATGAAGTTGCCTGAGCCACTGATCCCTGGGGGAAGAGTCCCCAGTACCCACTGGACTTGGTAGACAGCAGAATTAATGGAAGTTCATACCTTATCACTTCTAAAGTTATTTAACAGTAAGTTATATGGCACTGAATAAGAGGGGAAGGTGATTTATGTAAGTAGAAATTTGTAACAATTTAGTTGTGGTCTATTTCAACATACCATTCCAACAGTTTCATTTAGAGATGACAGGAAACTACAGGCAACATGTAAGGATCACCAGAAACCTGAGACTTGGACCAGGTACCTCACAGATAAAAGTCTAGAATGTTACTGTTCTGTCAGGCTGTTTGGTAGCAAAAGTTAAAACCCCCAACTTTTGCTCTTCATCTATGCTTTAACAAGTATTTTTCCTCTTTCAGTTTCTGTAAGGAAGTGTTGGTGCTGCATATCTCGGCTCTGTTTGAAATTGTAACAGCAGCAATTCTCACACTGCTCATGTCAGATCCTGTGGGAAGTTTGGCTGTGCGCTCTTGTCGAACAGAGAAACTCTCTGATTGGTATACATTACTTCATAACCCCAACCCACACTATGATGAGACACTGCATTGCACACAAGAAGCGGTATATCCACTGTATGTTAAATTCTTGAATGCACACTTCTAAGAATTATTGCTTTAAATTTTCTGGCACTCGATAGTGACACTACTGTTTGTTGTTTCATACATTCTTGACATTGTAATGTATGCAAGGCAGAGTTGTACATTGAAATGACATGACAAATAATTCCATTAAACTTTTGATTTATGTGGTAGAGTCATTAAGTTCGTGGAATGTGGTTTTTTTATCGCCGCATGTTACAAGTTATTCACATACACTTAACACAGATGCACATCGGCCCTCAAAATAGTTGCAGTTAGCCGCTCTGCAAACCTGCCAACGTTGATATAGCCATCGAAAACATTGCTGAAACATATTGGCAGGAAATTCCTGTTATGTCGCTTTGCGGCCATTCCATGAACTTATTGACTGTGGCAGTATATACAGAGTGCATCAGAAACAACTGAAATTGCAGGTAATGACTGTATATGCGCTGGCAATGTGGAGCATAATGATCTTGAAGTACATGTTTGGAGATTATCTGTCAAGAGGTTTGGGTTCAAAATGGATTGCTGGAGAGTACATCATGTCACTTTTTTTTTAAAGCAAATCGTATATGATAACTCAGAAGAATTTTAAAAGGCATTTTGGAGTGTGTAACGTGGGTTATGCCACATCACCATCAAAATATGAGTCACAAAATTTCATGCAGCAGGCACAGTGGACATGAAACAATCTGGAAGCCAGGTATGACCAGAACACCTAAAAATAGAGTTTGCTTGCCCAGTATTCATAGCCCCAAGCAATCGGTTATGCACTGTATTGCCATGCAAAATTTGCTGGAGTTTGGTATGCAATAAATTCGCTATCAACTCCAATTGTCTTCTGTACATTCTTCAAGAATTAAGTATGGGTGATAAACAAAATCATCTGCTGATATCACCAGTATAGTTTCGTGCATTCTGTAAATCATAGCTTCATCTTATACTTCTGGAGAAATTTTTTTGAGTTTCAGCAGTGGCGTGCCGTGCATGGAAGCAAGGGAAGCTTTGCTTCCGTAGTTAAGAAACTAAAAGAAAAGAAGTCATATATAAATAATTCAATTTGAATATTGTCATTTAGTGCACGTTCCTGCTCAAGGCCACATGCCTCCTCCTCCCTTCCCTTGCTTGGTGGGACGGACCAAGTTTTCTTCGTTATTCTCCATAAGAATTCGTCGCACATGAAGTGGGCAAGGAAGCAACTTTCGGTTTGCTGGCTAATGCCTGTGATATGGAAGCGAAGGCCTGTGTTCTTTCAATGGTTATGTGAAAATTAACTGTTTATGTGTGATTTCAGTCTTGTTGGGTGTTATAGGTAACCTTAAGTTTTATTAAAATATTGTAAGTGTATATAGTGTATATTTAGATGGCGTAAGATTGTATTTGTGATCCGCATCAGAAAGAAGCTATCTGCGTTCAAGGGAAGCAAATCTGTTATTGCGGTACAAGGACAGGGGCGTGATTAGACTACATGCACAGGCACAGCTAAAACGAATGCTGGGAGACAACGCAACTGTGACTGTGCAATCGAAAGCCTTTTAAAATGGGGGTTTAAGAGCAGGGACTTTTCTGAAAAGAAAATAATTATAGAAAGAGGACGACTGACATGAGAGGTGCCAGAACTTAAAGCACAAACCAAATTTAATTTGGAACAGTATTCTAAAACAGAGTGGCTATCCGGTTGCCATAATATAGGCAAATTGTTTTGTTGGCCAAGCCTATTGTTTCTCAAGGAAAAAAATGTATGGAACAAGACTGGGTTTGGTGATATCAACAACCTTTATATAGCATTGAAATGGCATGAGAACTCTGACTCACATTATTTCAACAGTGCAACTTGTTATGTTCGGGAAATCTCGAATTGACTGTCTACTTGACAATCAAAAGCGCCTGACGATACTACATAGAGAAATAATGAAACGCTTGATTGATATCATCTGCCATTTAGGAAAGTGTCAACTTGGCCTCCGTGGTCATGACGAAAGCGTGGATTCTATCGACCAAGGTAATTATGTGGAATAAGTTCACTTGTTGAGGAAATGTGATCATAAACTCAACGTTCACCTTGAGAACAGTACAGTATTTACAGGTTTATCGAACAGAATACAAAACGACCTTATTGACTCAATAAGTGATGTAAATTTTGGTGAGTTGATTGCTATCAGTGTGTTTATTAGATACCAATGCTTCCCTTACCAAAAATAGTACCGCACGCCACTGAGTTCCAGATATTGCCAGTAAATTGTTCATGAGCTATAAAGCTTGCCCAGTGGTGACATAAATGTTCAGAATTACTGTTATGACGCAACTGAAAATTCTAATGGACTCCATGTCTTATCTCTGAAGAACTGAGTTAGCTTTGCTTCATATTGTTTCAATTCTGTGACCTTTTAAGCAGATGAAGTGGTGATGGTTATAGGAGATGCTGTATGAAAATGGAGGTTTGTGTCTACAGCTGGAATAATGGACAGCAGTGATTACATCTAAATGCCTAATATGATGCTGTAGGTACTCTTATGCAAAATCTGTCCAGGACTGACTGGCTCTTGTTTCTGCGATATGCCATTGCCAGTTCATTCTCCAGGTTTATTGGTGCCAGATCATTGTTTATGGCAGTACTTACAAATACATGTAAGCGGCCTCCGTAGTCTAGGGGTAACATTCCCACGTCATGACTCAAGGTACGCGGGTTCAAACCCGGCGGAGGTCGTGGAATTTTTAAGGGCAGAAAAATTCAGGGAACAAGTCCTCCAGGAGGGACTTTAAGCCATGGGTCCCGTGTCATAGATTTACGGCACGTAAAAGATCCTCATGTGTCTAGGAGACCTCTGAGCAAAATTAGGCAACAATTTCCCACCCAAGTAGTTTCCAATGCCTCTGGTAGTTGGGGGAAATATCAGGTACCGACGGCCGACCTCATTGGCTGAACGGGGCTGATAGCACGCACCAGTACCGGTAGGGTATGGCGACAGTAGAAATTAAAGGGGGACGCACATGGACCAATAACTGGTCTAAGTGCATTAGGAAACCCACCCCCTCTAATAATAATAATACAAAGACATGTATGAGGGCAAATTGAAAAGTCTTTGCCCCTACTTTTTTTTTCAGCTATAATAATATACATACAGGGAAATCAAAATACAGGCAGTGTTCTAAGTACCTTTGACTATTTTTCCACATAGTCACCACCCCGGTTCAGGCATTTGTCCATTGTACCACTAGTCTGGAGATGCTGCTGTTGTAGAATTCAGCCAGTTGAGCGTGGAACCACCACCAGACAGCAGTTTTCACGCCGTCAGAGATGAACCTCTGGCCTGCCAGGAACTTCTTCAGTGGACCAAACACGTAATCACTGGGGGCGAGATCTGGAGTGTACGGTGCATGCTCAATAATCTACCATCTGAATGACTGCAGTTGCGCCCGGGGATTCTCATGGACGATGTGGTTCATCTCCATGACAATGCCAGGCCTCATGTGGCAAACAGGACTGCCACCCGAATGCAGTCATTCGGATGGGAGCAAATGGAGCATGCACCATATAGTCCAGTCCTTGCCCCCAGTGATTACAATGTGTTTGGTCCACTGAAGAAGTTCCTGGCAGGTCAGAGGTTCATTTCCGACGACGACGCAGAAACCGCTGTCTGGCAGTGGTTCCACGCTTAACCGGCCAAGTTCTACAACAGTGGCATCTCCAAACTAGTGGGGTGATGGGACAAATGCCTGTATTTTGATTTCCCTGTATGTATATTATTGTGGCTGATAAAAAATAGGGGCAGAGACTTTTTGATTTGCCTTCATATATGAAATCCTGTGCCACAAAAGATTGGAAGAATTTGCAGTGACCTGTGAAGAAATGCTACATTGCATGACAGATTTTACTTGACATCTAGAGGAATATGTTGAGATGGAAGGAAGGAATCTGTTACATTCAGCTTTCAAGCAGCGTAGTTAAAAAGTATAGTCTTCTGGGATGTATTCTGTAGTCTGGATGATAGGTACCACTGTTTGAGAGAAACAAGCATTATGTTCTCCAAAAGAACACTAATCTTTACACTTACTGCTCTGAGAACCTCAGATCTCTCATTCAGTTATTTGTAAATGATCTTTCACTTGTTTCTGATGGAGCCTGTTTATTTAAATGAAAAAAGATGGAAATTTGTGTAAAATATTTAAAATTGCACTGTTTACTTTTACATCATACAAAATAGTAAGTTAGCCTCTTAAGACATCTTGTTCTTTCTAAGTGTAAGGAATAACCTTACAGTTAACATATAGTCTGCGATCACTATGACATATCTGGCCCAGTACATCATTGGTTTTTCTTTAGCTTGAATTCTAAATAGACACAATAGAGGAAAAACACAAAATTTGTAATTGAACACCACAGTTACTACAAAATGAGTATATAACTTTGCCCTGATTATACACATACTGACAGTTGTTAGGAATGTGTGGAATTCACATGTTGCAGTCATGCCTATTATTTCATACTTGTTATTTATTTGTGTGTTATTGCAGTTCCCTGATGCTTGTTAGATTTTAAAATGTTCATACTAGATTATGTAAGCTAAATAAAATGCTACTAAATTGTGTATAAATGGGCTTCTGAATATGATTCTGTGTGTTTTTGTTTCTTATAGGTACACAATGGTGTTTATTTTTTACGCATTATCTGTTGTGCTTATGCTGCTTGTGAGACCCTGGTTGGTGCAGCATTTTCTTCCAAAACATGGCAAGATGTCAATTTATGCAGCACTTTATTTCTTTCCAACCTTAGCACTTATTCAGGCAGTCTTTGGAGGTCTTATTTGTGAGTATAGTTAATTGAATATAATTTGGCAGCTTTAACAGTATTGTGATAGCTGTAAAGTTGGCCGTTGCTGCAAGTGGTTACTTATTCATGAAGAGTACTTCTGGAATGTGACACCATGTAGTTTGGTAGAAGTTTACCAACATTTCTGAAACATGTCAGTAGATCTAAGCAGACCTAGCGAAGAAATAAGTAGAATTATGTGTTTGCTACACAATATGACATTTATATTAAACACAATGTAAAATTCAAACTTAAAAAAAGAGCTAATAAGTTCAGAATCTCCACTTTTCATTCATCGTGATTAAAAGTAATAAATCAAGATGTTAACGTAACTTGACAAGGGTGATGAGATGAAGAACAATGGATATATATTGTAACGTGTTTGGTTACTGAAGACGCCGTTCGGATTTTTAACTAGTTTATTCAACAACCTACAAGTAATGGCTACAATTAATTATAACACAGTTGCGGGGTTTCACACTTTATAACCCTATTCGCAATAATCTGTTTACACTGTTGCGGGGTTTCACGATTTATAACCCTATTCGCAAATCAGTTCACTCTGTCTTCAGTAGTATACACGTTTACAGTAGGGGGGCTATGTATCACTGTATCACACACTCCCAATTACACTCACGTCCGGTTCTTCCTGCGACGACTGCTATACTCCAACTCAATTCGTAGGCTTCTGCCTTGAGAACTGTTGATAACACACTGGCTCGACTACTACTGAACTCGGCGATGGCCACATTTCAACTCTCACGCTTCGCAGCGCAGCTCTCTTATATAGTGGCTGTGTGTGCCTGTTAAGTACCAACACTGTTACCTCACGCCGTCTTACATCACCGCGCATTACGTTACCGTGTGGAGGGGGGGAGGGGAGCGCTAACTCATCCGCCACGTCACTGTGGCCTGAGTTGCCACGTTGCTGCTGGGTAGAGAGGGGTTCTCCGTTGCACAACATATCACACTGCTCCCTCCTTAAGGCTGTTCATCCCGAATAGCCTAACGGTGCATCCCTGTTAATTTTCTTTGGAGGCTGTTCTTGCAGCATCTGTTCTCCAGCCGTTACAACCGCTCCCTTATCTCACCAAGAACCTCCAAAATTGTGGTCATAAGAATTTGAATCATTGTGTGTGTGAGTGCATGTGCATGGATGCGAGTGCGTGTCACAAACTGAAACCGTTCTTTCTGTTTCAGATTATTCCTTTCCATATGTAGTTATCATTTTGTCTGTCATATCAAATGCAGCTCATTTTGCATTCAAATTAGATCAGGTAAGCATTAGCAAAAGAAAGAAAAACTGGTGTTAACACATTGCGGGCCGGTTCTTTAAATATTTAAATCACCCTGGCGACCAGGGTTTTTAAGCCTAGCACCCTAACTTGTGCACTGTTCACTTTAAAAATTAATATAAAATCTCCTAATTAATTTTATGAACTAGAATTTTTGGAGAACACTTACCAGAGCTCCTAGAAGTGCTTGCACGTGTGATATTTCTGGAAACATTCCCCTTTGTGAAGAGGCATCACATCACAATATTTTGGGGGGCCCTGTGGCCCCTGTCACTGTCACTTTCACTGAGGCTGGCCTCGATATCAGAAGACGAAGCAGTTGGCAAATCTAATAGCTCATCGGAGAACAAATCAAATATTTCTTGTTCTCCGAGAGAAGGCTTCGCCTGCAACTGCTTTCGTCTCTGATCTTAGTTGCACTGCTAACTTCCTGGTTCATACGTGGAAGCTTGGACTTGAACAAAGGCTTTTTTCTTTAGGGTATGACAGGAAATGAATGTCATCATGTTACTAGCTAAGCTAGCAAACATTCCTGAGGTCATCTACGCAGTAGTTATGATGCAATGTGGCCACACAGCGAAATATAGTCGGTTGCAACATAACGCGTGAGAAAAGGGCCAATTGGCTCACCTGGTCCGCAACACTATAGAAACGTAGAGGGCCAATTGGCCCCTCCGGTCCTGAATGTGTTAAAAAAATATATTTGTTCTGAAAAATGTTATGGTCTCCTTAAATCTACATATATTTGTTTAAGGGTATATTTTAATTCTTAAACTGTGTTTTTGTCCTTTAAATAAGATTACCTTATAATTATAAGATCACATTATTTGAACAGAAGATATACTGTGACACAGTAAAACAAAGGAACGCTTTTAAAGTTCAGAAAGGGGGTTTGTGCCATTCTTTTGGCTTTGATTTGTTTCCTTACTTCCCTATATGTCAAGGTGACATATGCTTTAACATTTATAATCTTTTTTGTTTCCTTTCTGTTATTTCAAAACCAGAATCTGTAGAATGTACAGGGAAATATTCTCCTTTGGGTAATGGAAAATGCTGTTTGCCTGGTGCCTCCAGATAGGGTGTGTTGACCTTTTCAGCTTCTGCCCATCTAGGTAAAGATGGAGAGTGCACTTTTGAGGTAGAAGCACTCACAGGGCAGGGCAGATTCTTTCCCCCAGTGACGGTAAACTTGAAACTACAGCTTAATGCACAGTGGATACTGTCAGAGCAGGAATGGTCTTAATCTGAGTCATGCACTATTTATAGTATATTTTTTGGAGTTTATGCAGAAATATCAAAAATGAATTTAAAAATAATACTGCCTAGTTTGTGCATTGCTTACATGTAATACAACACAAATGAAAAATCCATGTGAATTGACTGCATTACTTCTTGGTTTTTCATTGTCAGCCTCCACATACACTATGTAAGTAAAAACTGTCGCTGGTTCTTTTAAAATGTGAATTGTTCAAGGATCATGATATATTTCCTGCCACCTGTAACATAGTTTTACATTTCTACCATAGGCACACTATGACTTTTCCTTGGGGTGGGAAGACAGCAACAAAATGTGCTTATAAACTTATCTACATTTAAACTTTTTGTGGAAATTTTTACTAATTAATTTGTTACATTAATGTGTGGCATATTTTCTCATTTTCAGTTTTTACTTTTTTAAAAAATTGGGTTGGCAGGAAAAAGAGGCCTAGACACCCATGACATCTGCTATCAGGAGACAAGACAAAATGACAGTCACACTGAATACAGGGGCACAGTTTAATCAATGCTGACAGTACAGGGTGTAACTGAAAGGTGCAGACAATCTTTGTGCATGAGTTTGACATACCAAAACAAGAAAAAATTTCCATAACATATGGAAACATTTAATTTGTGAGTTACAGCTGAAAGATACTGTACATGCATAATGGTGCTCCAGCACATATTAGCTATGCTGTGCAAAATGTTCTTAGTAACACCCATTGTGACTGATGGATAGGTAGAGGAGTTCCCACTCTGTGGCCTCCATGCTCATCAGATTTCAATCCTCTGAATTTTAACCTTTTGGGACACCAGAAATCCCCTGTGGATGCAATGGTTTATGATGAGATGTGCTGAAGTATGCAGTGAATCTCATGGAGGACATTTTGAGCACTTGTTATAAATGTACTCTTTCAGCTGTATGAGTAACTCACAAATTAAATGTAATTGATGTGATTAGTCTTGGCACTCCAAAGGCTATGAAATAACTCCAAACTGTAATATTTATATAGATTATACAAATATGCCTTTAAAGTTTAAAATATAAATGCCATGAAATATTTATATCACTGTTTGTTTCTTTTCAGTCTATGCAGTTCTTGATTGTAAATACGGTAACAGACATAAGAAACGTTGTGATCCTGCTCGGTCACTGGCTACTTCATGCATATGGGATTATTGCAATCACACAACTACAAGATCCTGTATTTCATTCTGCACTTGTAGCCTTAGTGCCACTACCAGCTGTGTTCTACATTCTAACTGCTCGTTTCACAGACCCTAACAAACTTCATACAGATTGACAAGACAGAATTTCAGTATCTCAATTACAAGAAATGACGTTTTAGATTGTCATTTGAAGTGGCTGATGCAATAACATTGTTACAACTCTGAATAAGGTGTGATCGTAAAGTGTTATAAGGTGTTGAGCTTTGTGACTATAATGATTCGAATAGTCTGATCAAATGAAGTGCATACAGCCATTCCTTGTTTATCAGGACTCCAGTCGAGGTTTGAGATGGGCTGTGTGGATAGAGTTGCATTCTGAAGCAAGCTGGTTGTCCCCATAACTCCCATTTCATTACCATCTGTGTCACACATAACTCGTCTTGCAGGGTAATTGCTGCACAAGAGAGAAAATTTATTAGACATTACAAGAAAAATAACATTAAGGGATATAATTGTGGGTCTAATAAATTGTGTTGTATATGGGTCTACAAAGGATTTATTGCATATAATGATGACATTAAATTACCTGTAGAAATAGGTACAAATACCAAGGTATTGCATATAATTGGATTATTTTAACAGAATATATGTATAAGCTGTGTAAGCTGTATTCTTCCACAAAGTGTTGTCAGCCGGCCGGATATCAATTGAACTTGTGACCCGAGACACTACGTCACATTTGGAGTGAGGGCCCGCACAGCGCTGGGAATAATACAGCAGCCGAGATTGAAGTTCAAGTGACTACTTTTGTAACCATATTTGGGCATAATCCGGGACTCAGTCTTTAATTGTAGTATAAAACCCCAAGGACTGACGCCCCAAGTGCTTTTAGATCATTCAACTAGCTGAGACTACTTGTATGTCAGTCTAATAGTCGGTACTGCCCGTAGCTTAGGCAGATAACCACTTCTACGTTTCCAGCAAGATCCTGTAATACATTTGTTAGTAATAAAACTTCATTTATATTACAACTGCTGAGAGGTACACCCCATTCTGCCTCCCAAGGGATCCGCTCGCCCAAGGCCAACCTTATCCCTCAACCGCGGGATACAACAACTGGTGTCAGGTGTGTGGGGTGATTAGCAGCCAGACGAGGATCACCTGGAACGTCGAAGGAGGAGGAGGAAGAGTCTACCAGCCAGGAGAACTTCCTACTCATAACAGTTGGTAAGACCCATCTGTTCAGTGGCTCATTAACTGGGCACTTGCAGTTCTTCTAAAGGAAGAACAAGGGATTGGAATCGAACAGCGTACTAGAGGTGAAGAAAGAGGAGCCTCATTAGTGTGGGAATTGTGCAAGAAGGTAGTCAGCAGTCTCTGCAGAGGGGTGGAGACGAGAAGAAGACGATTTTTAGTGTTGCTTCGATAAGCTATTCCTAAGATAGAAATTTACAAGTTACAGGAACGGCGGAGCTGAGAAGGAGCAGATAACAGATAGGCGAAGGGTGAACGACCGAGAGACTTCGAGGGGAACCAGAGGACGAGCCAGCTGTGAGAGAGGAAGAAGGACCAGCTACACCAGATAAACTTCCATTATCATCAACGGTGAGTCCCTGTTTAAGGATATATGAGTGTCAGTTCGCGAACAAATACACAGGTTGTAGAGGCAAATAGCTCCAGCAATATGGCAGAGCAGTATGTTAGTGTGAGTGAGGCACTGAAATTAGTAACTCCATTTAGTGGGAATAAGAGAGAAGTACTTACATTCATTTCTAATGTGGACACTGCGTTCGAGGTAATAAACCCGGAACATGAGGATAGACTATATAAGTTCGTGTTAACACGAATCAGCGGGGAGCCTAGGATAGCGATAGCCCACCGAAATTTGGACAAATGGGTAGAGGTTAGGGAATTCCTGAAAAATACCTACCTCGAAAAACGTACATTGGATTTTCATGCTACCCAGTTATTCAAGGCTAGGCAAGAAAAATCAGAAAGTGTTTCAGAATGGGTGCAAAAGATCCAAACATTAGGCTCGAAATTTAGAGAAGTAGCACTGATGGATTGTTCAGAAGAAGAAAGAGCAGGAATTCTCACGTTATCAGATAAATTGAGGAACATATGCTTCGTACAAGGACTATTTTCTGATAGAATACAGACTATTGTCCGTAGTCGGAATTTCGAGGATTTCGATGGAATCGCAGAAACTGCGTTGGTAGAAGAATGTGCCATTGTGTCTAGAGCAGAGCGGTACAAGACCCCCGGTTCAATCCCAGTGCAGTGCACGATCTGCAGAAGGTCGGGGCACACCAGCAGTAACTGTTTCTCCAAAATAAAGAGAGACAACAGGGTAAATCAGTTTTCGGTGAGGAGACCGGCGCAGCCACACGATGTAATTTGCTATAATTGTGGGGAGAAAGGACATATTTCTAAATTCTGCAAGAAACCCCGAAAAGCAGCGAGTAGAGACAGGCAGAAAGCAGAGGAGAAGGGAAACGAGAATGGACCGTTGGCCCGCAGCCAGCAGACGGTCCGTACAGTACAATAGGCTGTATCAGTGGAAATAAGTATGACGGTTTGGAATGGGAAGTGGATGTTAGCAAGGCGGGAAAATTGAAGTTTCTGGTAGACACAGGCGCTGATATAAGTTTGATAAAGAGCACGAAATTGATGGGAGACGCCGTGTTTGACCCGACCCGTAAAATAACCGTGAGAGCAGTGGACGGATCCGTAGTAGAGACGTATGGCGTCATAGAGGTTGGGATCCAGGAAGGGAAGTTTAGAATTCGATTCCCGTTCCATTTAGTGAATAAACAAGTAGATCTTGCCTACGATGGGATCCTAGGTCGAGATTTTTTGCAGAGTACGAAAGCCAACATATGTTATGAGAATAAAAGAGTAACCTTTGAGGCGGAGGGTCACCAGGTCACTAAAGAGATATTAGGTGTAGGTGAAACACCTGTAGCAGGGCACGCTAGATCAGTGCGATTACCCAAGAGGTCGGAAATAATAGTAGAGGTACCTGTAGAAGAAGGGGAAGCAGGCACTGAAGGGATTATCAGTAAGCTAGAGATAGCGGAGGGAATTTATGTAGCCAACTCACTAACCAAGATTGAGGGAAATAAGGCTATCACCAGTATTCTAAATACGAGAGATGAAGAAGTAGTGATGGAAATTCCCCGTATGCAATGGGAAAGGTACACTCTAGATAAGGAAAATCGAACTGGTTATGTGGGAGCCGTAACCCCAGTGGAAATGAAAACGGGACAAAACAGAGAAGAAAAGGTCCTAGCGAACTTGAGACTAGATCACCTAAATTCTGAAGAAAAGGGAGTAATCGAAAATACCTGTAGAGACTACCAGGATATATTTTACCTAAAGGGAGACCACTTAAGTTGTACGAATGCAGTCAAGCATTCCATAGACGTTATACCGGGAACTAGCCCGATAAATACTAGGCCATATAGACTGCCAGAAGCCCAGAAGGCGGAGGTGGACGCACAAGTAACCAAACTCCTGCAGGGTGGGATAATAACCGAGAGCAAATCCCCTTGGAATAGCCCTATCCTTGTTATTCCTAAAAGAGAAGACGCTAGTGGGGAAAAGAAATGGCGATTAGTGGTAGATTTCCGCAAACTGAATGAGAAGAGCATAGGTGATGCCTACCCTCTCCCCGATATCACGGAGATATTAGATCAGCTGGGCCAGTCGAAGTATTTTAGCTGCCTAGACATGGTGATGGGTTATCATCAAATAGAAGTTGAAGAGAAAGACCGAGAAAAAACTGCTTTCAGCACCAAAGAAGGTCATTGGGAGTATAAGAGGCTTCCGTTTGGGCTTAAGACGGCACCGGCGACATTCCAACGCATGATTAACACAGTGTTATGCGGACTCACAGGGTCGCGCTGCTTTGTCTTTCTAGACGACATTGTGTTATACGCCAGGTCCCTAAGTGAACACGATACAAAATTAAGAGAAGTATTTGACAGAATCCGGAAATTTAACCTCAAACTCCAACCTGATAAATGCGAATTCCTTCGCACAGAAGTGAGCTATTTAGGACATGTGATCACAGAGAGAGGGGTAATGCCTGACCCTAAGAAGGTAGAGACTGTAAATAACTACCCGAGACCGATCAATGTCAAGCAACTAAAAAGCTATTTAGGTATGGCCAGCTATTACCGAAAATTCATCCCGAATTTTAGCAGGATAGCTGCGCCCCTTCATGCTTTACTTAAAGCTAATGTACCTTTTGTTTGGGAAACAGAACAGGAATTAGCCTTTCAGAAGTTAAAGGACAAATTGGTGTCAAAGCCAATCTTGCAATATCCAGACTTCACTAAAGACTTCATATTAACAACGGATGCTAGCAATGAAGGGTTAGGAGCGATTTTATCGCAAGGAGAAATTGGGAAGGATCTACCCATATCCTTTGCCAGTAGAAATTTGAATAAAGCCGAACGCAACTATTCCACTAGTGAGAAAGAGCTTCTAGCTATTGTGTGGGGCGTGAAACATTTCAGACCCTACTTATACGGCAGGAAATTTAAAGTAGCCAGCGATCACAAGCCACTAATGTGGATTATGAATGTTAAGGACCCGGGATCGAGATTGCTGAAGTGGAGAATCCGTTTAGAAGAATACGATTATCAGATAGTATACAAGAAAGGGGCTTTGAACACGAACGCGGACGCGTTAAGTCGTATTCATGGATTATCGCTAGAGAACGAACCCCAATTAGGAACACAGATAGAGGAGGAAAAAAAGAAACAAATCTTGTATGAATATCATGATGCGCCTCTGGGCGGTCATCGCGGAATGAACAAGACCTATAAGGCGATAAAGCAAAAGCATTCTTGGCCCAATATGAAGAAGGAAATCGAAGACTATGTTAAAAGATGTAAGAGCTGTCAAATGAATAAAATATTGCGGCCACGCGGAAAAGTCCCGATGGAGATCACCACAACAGCCAGCCAACCTTTTGAAAAATGTTGTTTAGATATTGTAGGTCCCTTAACAGAGACCCAGACTGGAAATAAGTACCTACTTACTTTTCAGGATGAACTCAGCAAATTTTTAGTGGCCATTCCCATACGAAAGCAAGACGCAGAAACGGTAGCTAGGGAATTTGTGACCCACATAATTTTGAAAATGGGCACACCAAAAACCATTCTAACAGATCAAGGCTCAAACTTCTTGAGCGAAATTTTTAAGAATGTCTGCAAAATGCTTAAGATAAAGAAATTGCAAACCACCTCTTTTCACCCGGAGAGCAACGGTAGCCTTGAACGTAGTCACAGAGTATTGAAAGAATACCTGAGACATTACATAAGGGAAGACCAACTGAACTGGGATGAGTGGGTACCTTACGCGGTATACGTATATAATACGTCGATCCATGTAGCTACCGGATACACTCCGTTTGAACTGATATACGGATTTAAGTCAGCGATGCCTTCTAATTTAATGGGAGATCCAAATCCCCAGTACAATTACGATGATTTCTTAGTTGAATTAAAGAATAGACTACAAACCGCTCACCACACTGCTAGAGAAAAACTAATACAGGCCAAGCACAAGAGTAAAGAATACTATGATAGGCATACGGAGGAACCCTCGATTAAAGTAGGTGACAAGGTATTACTGTTTGATGAAACAGTGAGGAGAGGTAGATCGAGGAAACTGTGTTCACAATGGTTAGGACCCTATGAAGTGATTTGTAAAGAAGGGGTTAATGCGACCCTCAAGATGGGAAAACGGATTCAAAGGGTACACCTAAACAGGCTAAAACATTTCCATTAGTTTCAAGGGAGAAACAAGAATTATTATTCTTTCCAGATGCAGTATAGGAAGACATGGATCATAGCAGTATGGATCGTTTGGTCATGGGGAATCTGGGAAACAAATGCCTCAACTGAAGACCTTGGATACGCCGTAGATCGATATGATGAATCACCAGGGATATATTACGAACATCTAGGAGAAGTTAACTTGTTTAATACAGAATGGAAAACAGTGGTATACTTAGACATAAAGGATACAGACCAAAAATCAGATAAAATAGGAGAATACATAGAACACATAAGCAAATTATGCTTGACCACTTCAATTAGAAATTGGACAAACTGTAACCGTTTCGAAAACATAGCGAGAGATAGACTGAGTCAGATTAGAGGAAGCGAAAGGTTGTTAAAAGACTTGATAGGAAGCAATCCTAGTCACCGTAGGAGACGTCGAGGAGTTTTTAACTTTATTGGCGAAATTAGTAAGGTTCTGTTTGGCACAATGGATTCGGACGACGCTGAGTACTATAATGAACAAATCAAACGATTCGAGGAAAACTCGGAGGATGTAACAGACTTAATGAAGCAACAATTATCGATTGTCAAGGCTTCGTTGGGAACTTTTAATGAAACAATATCCGATATGGAATATAATAATAACCTTATCAAAAGAGGATTGACCGAATTAAAAACTTATATGGAGAAATTTATAGGAGAAACCGAAGCTAGACTGGACCTAATATCGATTAAGATTAATATAGAAAGTCACATTGCTCAAGTTAACAATGCCTTGAATGCTATGCAAAGAAATCTTGATTTACTAATAGAAAGTATATTGAATGCACAGAAAGGAGTGTTGCAACCACAAATTGTTTCCCCTAGCTTAATTCTTGAGAGTTTGAAGAAGAGCATTCCGTATTTTCCCGAAGGTACACTGACACCATTTTCCTTAAGCAAAGACTCGATCAGTATGATTTATAAATTATCTGATGTACATGTATACATAAATAAGGATATATTAGGGTATGTAATAACCCTACCGCTGGTGAATAAGAGTGTTTTTAAGGCATTAAAACTAATACCTCTTCCCATAGCCAAGGACAAATTCAAGTTTGTGTACATTGAGACAGAGAATTCAATATTGTATGTGGACGAAACTAGACAATATTATTTCACCACCAGCAGAGAGGAACTGGACAAATGTAAGTTAATGAAAGCAAGTTCATTTGTATGTAAACAGAGTCAACCCCTACTAAATAGTCACCTGAGAGAATCTTGTGTAGTAAAATTGTTACAGCCCAGGAGAACTATACCTCAGAGTTGTGATACCCGATTAGTGTCTATCACGCACCCGGTGTGGACACAACTGGAGAGGCGAAATGAGTGGATATACTTTATCCCATCTAGCGATAGTGTGACGATTGTGTGTCCCAACAAGGAACCAGTGGAAGTGTTGCTCACTCACACTGGGAAGCTAGAAATTCAAGCAGGGTGTAAAGGTTACACAAAAACAGCATTATTATCAACAGTAAAGGAAATTAAGGTGAACGATTCCAGAAAGGGAGGAGACCTACTATCAAAGGTAGACGCCGAATTTGAATGCTGTGAACAATTAGGCTCTCACCTCAACCTGAGCCATATAGATTTAGATATGAAATTCAAACATATAGTTAATCATGTAGAGGACTTAAAATTCGCTAGTTTTAAGATTTCTGAACTGGAAAAGTTAGCCAGAGAGCATGAATGGAAGAGCAGGTATGCTCAGTACCATAACACGTATTCAGTGTTAGCATATATTTTTGCTAGTGTATTGATGATATATGTACTGTATAAGCTAGTGAGGTGTGTATTACCTCGTTTTAAAGCAAACACTGCCCTAAGAGCGATCGCTGCCTCCACCACAGAACGTTTGGGTCTCACCACAGAGTCAAACGGAAGGGGCAACATAGTAAACATTAATATTAAAACCAGCAGCGAAAGCATTGCAAGTAACCCAGAAGATATCCCACTTCGAACTCTACCGGAGGTTACCAACCTCAGAGAAACCGGAGAAGTTCGCAGATCAACAAGAAGTAGATCTGCAAAATCACATTTCTAAATTCAGTTAAAGTGTAAATTCTGCAAAATCACATTTCTAAATTCAGTTAAAGTGTAAATTCTGCAAAATCACATCTCTAAATTCAATTAAAGTGTAAATTGAATTTTTTCCTAAGGGGGAGGTGTTGTATATGGGTCTACAAAGGATTTATTGCATATAATGATGACATTAAATTACCTGTAGAAATAGGTACAAATACCAAGGTATTGCATATAATTGGATTATTTTAACAGAATATATGTATAAGCTGTGTAAGCTGTATTCTTCCACAAAGTGTTGTCAGCCGGCCGGATATCAATTGAACTTGTGACCCGAGACACTACGTCACATTTGGAGTGAGGGCCCGCACAGCGCTGGGAATAATACAGCAGCCGAGATTGAAGTTCAAGTGACTACTTTTGTAACCATATTTGGGCATAATCCGGGACTCAGTCTTTAATTGTAGTATAAAACCCCAAAGACTGACGCCCCAAGTGCTTTTTAGATCATTCAACTAGCTGAGACTACTTGTATGTCAGTCTAATAGTCGGTACTGCCCGTAGCTTAGGCAGATAACCACTTCTACGTTTCCAGCAAGATCCTGTAATACATTTGTTAGTAATAAAACTTCATTTATATTACAACTGCTGAGAGGTACACCCCATTCTGCCTCCCAAGGGATCCGCTCGCCCAAGGCCAACCTTATCCCTCAACCGCGGGATACAACAATTGAGATTCAAGCAGATTGAGCGATTTAAAAGTTAGGTATATTGGTTTGGAGGGTAAACTTAGACATAGAATCCAAGTCAAAAATATCCATTCCACTATTCTGGAGAGTGCTGCAAGGCTGACTCCACTGTCCAGTGTTCTGAAATTTTCCATATGATTAAATTTACAGACAGGAGAATATCCTGTGTGGAAACCCATTTTGCAAGAGAGTACAAGAGTACAAGTTCATAAACTTGTGTTGCAATGGCTCTGAAATGGTTTAAGGCATTATGTATTGCAAGTATTTTCTGTGCAGATTAGTACTCAAATACACTCTCTGAAACAATGTACTTCTTTTTAATCACATTATTCCAGGGCTTTATGAACCAGAATATATTGCTTATCCTAGTTTGCACATATGTGCACACCCACAAAAAATTGTACAAAGTAGCAATTTATGTTATGTATGTTATCCAATATGGCTTGTCTTGTGGGCTTTAATTCTAATGGCAAAACCCAAAGTTTTAATTTTCATCACATGGGTCATAACGTTTTTTCTGAGAGATGGTGACAAAAACAGTTCATGGTTTACTTATTTGAATAAAAGTTTTAAACTTCTCTTTAATAAATATAACCATTTCCTTGATATCTACATGTAATGCACTCATTTTGTGAGCCTGGCTCCTCAATATGATTGGTCTAGCATTCTCCTGATTACTGTAAACAGCTTTAGTTCTTCTGTTCTCTGACAATATAACAACATATGAATGTGATAGAAAGTTTCTGCACTTCATTCCACAATTAGATTTAGTATGGAAGGTTACGGGTGTTATCACTTTTCTATACAGTGTCCCTAGACCACTTCTGTCGTCTAGTGGTCAGAGTTCCTGACTACAGATCCAGAGGTCCCAGGTTCGATTCCTGGCGCTACGGGATTTTCCGAGAAGTAGTGGGTCTGGCGATGTGGAAAGCAAATGGAAAAACTACCACATTATCACATTTCCTGGATAGTCTCTTTCCAAAAACAGAAGATCGCATTAAGTGGAGAAACTGTTTTGGAAGAGGCTGTGGACCTGTTGTCTGACAGATTACTGATGAATGAATGAAGTGGGTCTGGAACGGGGTCCACTCAGCTTCATGAGGATAATTGAGGAGCTATTCCGAGGAAATAGAGGTTCCGGTCTAGAAAACCCGAGATTAACAGCCGTGGGGGGATCCACTGCGCTGACCACATGACACCCTCTATCCGCAAAAGTTGGCATTAACTTCGCCGACAAGCGGCGGTCACTCAATCAGTATAGTTTGCTTGTGGACTAGAGGCCATGGAGTTTTTTTTATGTAATCTGACTGCTTCTCAGCATACTTTGTGTAGCAGTCCACGAGCTTCCTGATGCCATCAGAAAAACTGTTGGGCTGAGTGTGAAGAGTCACACAGTGCTTCCTTCACCTCACTATCATCTGCAAATTGACTACCTCTGATAGCCCCCTTTAGAAGTCCAAACAGATGGAACTCGAAAGGTGCATGATCCAGACTATAGAACTTAAGTCTAAGCTCCCAAAAGGTTTCCCTGGTGTGGACAGCAGTATGAGGTCTAGCATGTTCATGCAAGATGAGAACGACTTCTGATAATGTTCCTTGTCATTCTGTGCAAATGGCTGACTTCAGTTCATTTTGTAGCAAGTCAGAATACATTTCATTCATTAGATTTGTTGTACATTCCTGGTAATGTTGAAGAATCGGACCTTGAGAACACCATCAGAATCACCCTTCCTGCTGATGGATGAATCTTGAATGTATTTGTGGCAAGAGATGATCGGTGTGCTTCCGCTGCATACTCTGATGTTTGCTTTGTGGTTTGTGATGGTATATCCAAGTCTCATTGCCACTGTTGCCTTCACTGAGGTACCACTCCAGCAGATAAGACTTGATCCCCACACAACAGCACCTGTCCTCTTCTGTCAGTTCCCTCAGGATCTACACAGATTCTGTGGAATCCAAAAATGTCATGCACTTTTGAATGAGCCAAACCTTCCCTGATGTCTGCTGTTGATGCACTGGCTTGTATTATTATTGCTCTGTCCTTGAAAATCACTACCCTGGCTCGTTCTGTTTTTCATCACTTGTTGCCACGGACAGGTGTCCTGAGCATTCAGAATCAGTTACACTTGCCCTGCCTTTCTTAAACATACACACTATGTGAAGGTAATGCACTGTTCCCATTTTTAAAAAATAAGCTTGTGTGAAGGTGTTAAATAAAACCTTCTGCCCACAAGAAACAAACCATGGCCCATTGTTCTTCTGTGGTGCAAACTGAAAATGGTGAAGCCATGTTTTTGCTTCACTGCAGTTTAGCCACTGAATCCAAGGTCATGTTGGGCAGTGTACTGACATTTTGTTTCACAGGGTTCAGTACTGCCAGGTGTCATAAGGCCATCTTATACTTTCTGCAGACAGGAGCAAAAGTGAGGATGCTTTTTGGATCACCTTTTTATGTGCTGTTAGAGTTTGCTAGAGCTGACTTTTTAAAGCATAAACATGGAAAAGCGCTTGAAAGCAAAAGATAAGTTGTTTTGAATATACCAATATTTCACTTACAGCAAAAATTCTAAAAATAATATAAATCTGGCTACAAATGAAAATGCTGAAGCTACAAGCATTTCAAGAGCCCCAGTTATATGGAAGATATAATGTCACTGCAATTATATAAGTTATATTTTCTAAATTTTTCACATAACAGTGTCACAATCTCATACTGACAGTAAGATAAAGCCTCTTTCAAAATGAGGGCGGGCTTTGGAAACACAATTAAATTTGTCTGTCCTGTAGTTTGGCAACAGGAGTTGTAATTGTGAAAGGGAACCTGCAATTGATTTCAAGTTGGTGTGTGATACAGTAGGTGAAGGCATGAAATTAAAAGTTCCATTCTTTAGTTTACAATAACTTATATTGATCTGACACCTCTATTGTAATGCCTATTTAGCTTCACCAGAGTTCTCATTAACTGGCTGGCAGTTACTGAGCTACCCATCCACCTGGATATGTAACTACTTTCACCACCACACTCAAACCCAAAAACTGATTAAAGGTAAAAAAGTTGGGAGGACCAGGAATGAAAAGCAGTGTAAGTCATGTGGATTGTCACTTTTCTTAATGTTATGTAAACACACGGTATGGTTCCCATTACCTGAAAGTTGTATGACAAAAACCTTGACTTTCACACTGTAAGCATGTTGTAATTTTTAACATACAAAAAAAAAAGTTCAAACCAAATGTGTAGGTATGTTTATGATCTATCTACATGACTCTCTAAAGGCCTGCGACAGTAGCTGATTCACTATATGAATATTATATTGGACATTGTTCACTGTCCATGTATGATATACACACAACATTTTGGGAGTTTCCTGTCTTCAGCAATTTGTTGTGATTTCTTATTACTTTGATATTTTAATGTGGATGAACACAGCATTGCTAGGTAACTGATTATGGATCCCAAAAGAGATTAGCCGTCACCTGAAGGGGGACAACACGCTGTGCGAAAGTGGCACGGCAGAAGGAAGACTTTGACGGGAGAAACTGCATGAGGGCCATGGTTGAGCGAGCAACCCAGAAAGTGGGGCTGCTCAAGAATTTACGGACGCACCATGAAGGAAAAAGAGGAACAAAAGGATCTAGGCGGCAAGCGGCCGCTGTACCCGAGAAAGAAGAGGGCAACCACGATCAGTATCAGAGGGTGGAGCTCAAGACAGCTATCACCTCTGGGAAGAAGATGATAGGCCTGCAACACCTTCAAGAAGACCCTACAGATGGAAGTCATGAAGCAAGCAAACGGGATGTCCGGCGGGTTTCAGAAAATGATGAAATGGACAACATGGAAGGATCAACCCCCTCCAAAATGGAAAAGTTGCATACAGAGCAGGAGCCAGAAATGTGGAGGCACTGACCACTTGGGATGCTTTAAACCCACCGTTCAAAACGAAAAGCTTGGATGATGATGAGGCACCTTGATAGACTGGAATTTTATTAGGGAGCCGCTTGGAATGAGCGCCTGTAAGGAGGGAGAGGTAGTAACAGTGGTAGAAGTCACTGAAAGAAAAACAAACTGAGCTACAGTAAGGACAGTAAGACCAACTGCATACATTACAGGAGGAAAGGATGATAGACCATCTGATTGTTCAGGACAAACAGCCTTATGGAGGCACACAGCATTACTAGGTAATTGACTGGTAAACACATACCACAGCAATGAATGTGAATAGGGCGTCCATTGCTAGGCAATGTATGGGTGGATAGGCCTGACAGCAATATATGATATCCATTGCTGAGCAGCAATGTGTTTTTGTGGATGGTCCGTGCCAAGCCTATATAGGGAGTAGGGAAGACTGTTCAAGGGGATTCGACAGGAAGATGTTCAAAGCAGCTCAGCAGTTAAGTTGATAGGAGTTCAAGGCAACTGAGAGACTAGTGACTCCTACATGGTTCAAGAGAAGATTATAAGAGTAGCGAAGATAATGGACTGACAGACAGTCCAACAGTAGAGTCCTGGAGCCTACAGATGAAGATTAGAATTGAAGTGTGAAGACTTTGCTGTATGTGTTAATGTTCCAGTAATAATTTGGAGAGTTGTGTTGAACAGAAGTTGGCTAGCCTCCATTAGCATTAGTTCATACCAAGATTTGCAAAAACCCATCAACTGGTTAAAAGTGTCTAGGAGGGAACATACATATGAACATAACGAAACTCTAATCTTGACACTTGTGAGGTATGCAGAAAACCCGGAGCACGAAATGCATGGTAGACAGCATGGATGAGCAACTGTGCCTAAGCAAAAGCAATGACTACTTATAGCCTATTGTAGCTGTGCAAGACACTAGTATGGTAGTGGCCAATGTGCTCCAGAATGAAGCTATAGTTTTATACAGTGTAGCGTACAGGTCTGCTTCCTCACCGTGCAGGTGTCATGATTTGAGTCTTTCCCTCCTAAATCAGAATACTTACTATTTCCAGAGACACAATGTTCCAGCACCACCACATGTAGCAAATATCTCCCGATTTTGTGGTAAATGTCGAACTACCCATATGGTCGATTTATGTGCCTGTAAAGTGACAAATTCAACTACTTATTGACACAACTTATTTACAGTATTGTGAGTGTAACAGCTTCATCCAAATGAAATGCTTTATTGTCGAAAATACAGAGTACATGATTGGATCTTGTTGTGTAACATGAAGTGTGCTGTTGCCGTGTTGTACCATGAAACTGTAGATATAAGTAACAAGGTGGAATTTCTGTCAGAAGTGCCAAGGAAGAACTAAGAAATCTCTTACTCCTGAACCAAGATTTTCTACAAGTTCACCATTTAACACAGTAAGAGCTGTAATTAGGTAAGGTCATGGCGACATGCAATATGACGACATACTCCAACCAAACTTGCAAAACCAATCAACCATCTCTTTTGCAGCTAGCCAAATGACCCACATGATAAGCAACAGCATCCTCAGCACAGCTGAGTTGTGAGCTTGACATCCCCTCCAACAGTGTCTACAGAACCATGATGCCAAACTTCTGCTAGACCACATTAATGGAGATGCCATAGAATAACATGGGTGAGAAGGGACAGAGTATGCATAGCCAAGAGCACACACTATAGAACAGTGGAGAGAAAATACAGGGTTACTACAAATGATCCATTCCATTTCAAAACACTATATTGGTCGCCCCGTGCTTTTCCGTTTACACAGAAAACCAGTCTCCTTAAACTGCCGACACCACCACAGAATGCTCTGTTTACATGGTTGTTCTTTTCTGTGCTCTGCTCTGAATGCACGCTGCACTGCAATAAGACGAACATCATGCATATTCCAACACACAGAAATTCTTTTCCAGCTTCATCGCCATTTTGTGAGGCACTGCACTCATGCTGCCACCTGGTGTATCACAATGCAAACTTGGTGAGTTTGTGGTTCTTTTCATGTATCATATTTGTATGTGTAATACTTTGGAAAATATAGTGTTTTGAAATGGAATGAATCATTTGTAGTAACCCTGTATACAGGGTGATTCACGAAGTTTTACCCCGGCTTACAGTACATATTCCTGGGGTTATTTCCTGCAAAATTTCCTTATAAACTTGTGATCGATTTTCAATTGTTACAGAATAAAGACAGATTTTCGAAACGCATCATTGTGAATGCAGGGCTATGCTTCCCTCCTTGGGCGACCTTACGTTCCAGTCAGCTGTGTCAGCAGATAAAGGCAGACTGGCTGGAATGTTGCGCAATCCTAGGCAGAGCGATCCAGTAGTTAACAGGACGTTGTGTTGGTGACTTTGTGAAGTTAAGATGCCGTACAGATTTTCCACTGAGGAATTTGCCGATATGGTGTTTGTTTTGGGTGTATGTGATGGAAATGTGAGAGCCGCTGCTACTGAATATCACTGGCGTTATCCTAATCGCAGGATTCCGAATCCTAAATCCATTAGCAGTACATTCAACACATTAAAACAAATTGGTTCTCTCCCCAGCGTTCGTATACAATATGAACGAAATCCTCAACATGAACTGTGCGAAGAAGAAAACATTCTCGAGGCTGTAGAGCGCAGTCCGCATGCCAGTACAAGAAATCTAGCTCGGTGGTTCAGTGTTTCTCAGTCCATGGCGTGGAGGACTCTTCATGAGAACGGGCTGCATCCTTATCATTTACAGCAAGTACAATGCCTACAATCAGGAGACCGTGCTCTTCTTTTGCAGTTCTGCAACTGGTTAAATGGAAATCGGCAGTTGTACCTCTTGATAATGTTCTGCGATGTGGCACAGTTTACACGGGACAGAGTCAACAACAGTCACGACTTACATGTTTGGGCAGACAATTATCCCCGTGCCACGATAGAATCGAATTATCAACACCGATTCAGTGTCAAGTGTGGTGTTCTGTATGATCAGTTAATCGGGTCGTTCATTTTTCCTGGCCGCTTAACTGGTGAGATTTACCTCCACTTCTTAGAAGAATTACCACAGTTACTTGAAGATGTTCCTCTGGCAACAAGACGCTGGATGTACTTTCAGCATGATGGGGCACCTCCTCACTTCTCCCGCGCAGTAGCAGCTCACTTGGATCGGCATTTACCACAGAGGTGGATTGGTCGCGGAGGCCATAACCCCTGGCCTCCCAGGTCGCCAGATCTAACGCCATTAGATTATTGCATTTGGGGTTGGATGAAGGACATTGTGTACCAGGTAAAGGTATAAACACGTGAAGCGTTGCTTGAACATATTCTGGACGCGGTGATGACAATAAGGAACAAACGTGTGGAATTGCAAACTGCTACGAGCGCGGTTCATATGCATGCGACACGTTGTGTTGACGTGCAGGGAGACAGTTTTGAAAATCTTATGTAAATCCAGTCGTCTTCTAAAGCACTATACAGTTTAAAGGAAACAGATTGATAGAAGGGTGTGATATGCAACCACTGGTATGTTTACAGAATGGGATGCTGAAAATAATGTAATTTTGTACCATAAAATCGATGAAAAATGTTGCACAATGCAAAATTAAGGAAGTGAAAACAAAAATTGGTTTCAGAATGCTTCTTTCCTAAAACATTAACGATTTAAAGTGTTTGTATTGTATTTATAATTTGTTTTGACTGAAATTCAGAGAAAAAAAGATTTTTCACCAGTTTTCAAATTACGGTATCTCTTTAATTATGAGTTGGATACCATTAGTATATTAAAATTTTTTGTTCCAAATTACCTCAGGAATGCCCTCCCTATGTGGGGGTAAAACTTCGTGAATCACCTTGTATAATGTTACAATGTATTGTTTATTGACTTACCTTTTCTGTTAAATATGCAAATCCTTTCTTTGGATGTTGTGTTCGTACATCAAAGACATAAAACTTTGATTCTAATGTTGTGGCTACCATCTTGTTCATGGATATATCTCTCCTGTCAAATTCTATTCCACACACCTAAAGAATTATAAGCAGATATTAAGAAGCATTATATATTTATTCAAGATAAAATAATAAATCTGAAACAGCAGAGAATGTAATACAAGTGAAACTATTATTGCCTTGGGAAGGGAGAGACATTGTATGGTTACATGTACAAGTAAACTAGGGGTTGGCAAACTTTTGTTAATAGCTGGCTGCTTTCCATCTTCATAACCCAGGAAGCATGACTAGCAGATAATAAAGAAATCAAAAATAGATGATAAGTGCACAGGTACTGCTACATTTTGATATAATTACAGTTCTACAGTTATTTTAACCTCATCAGGAATAGAACCCATGACCTTCCGGCTTGTACCATGTGACCTCCAGCTAATGCTGAGGTCAAGAAAATGATCTATACATCCACTTCTCCATATGCCTTCATGGCGAAGTGCTAAATGAGTCCAGCACAGAAACAACTTTACCTTACAGTTATTTGTGTGTTGAGTGTTGGTAGCCATAACATTTTTAGGGACAAAAGACAAAATTTAAAATAAAATAACATTTTCTGGTTTATAAAAATTTACAGATGGGCTACCAGCTGCCAACCCCCCATTATACAGTAAAATAATTACTATGTGTTGCTAAAATTATTTACAAATTAAATCAACTCTAATAAGTATGTAGACTTACTCCATTTTTCACATTTGTTTCCCACCTAAGGGACATTGTTTTCAAATCAAACATCTTTATATCACCATTATCATAGCCAGAACAGACAATTCTTTCTTCAGAGTTATAAGAATTACCTAAAACAAAAGAGGAAAGCCTTTGGAATTTATGTTGACCAGTGCAGTAGTCCTGTTCTAGACACTAATGTGATAAAGGTTTCAAACTCCAAATTTTCTTTCACATTTTCCCAGTGCAGACATCACTGCCCCAGAAAGGAAATGAAATATCATCATCTCTGGCACTCTCACTGCATTACCACTAAGGCCACAGAAATGAGTTTCATGGATGGTGGGACGATGATACTCAAAGATACCAATTGTGCTTGCTTTTGTATTCCACTCCAGCCCCTGCGGCCCAAGTCAATCAGCCCAAAGCAGTTATTGCTAATGAAGGTTATGATATGGGTATTATCAGCATTCATATAAAGAGAATCACAGATGCTGGGGGAATACAGGAATGTACAGCTCAACAGTATTGTGGAAGTGGTCAAGCCATGGGACTTTATACCATGGTCTCTGTATAATCTTCAGTCTTTATTCCTGTTAGTTCATTAGCTGTCCCATATGCAACTTGCTTTTAAAAACCTTTAAAATTATTAAATGTTAAAAACTCTTTCTCTGGTGTATGCACACTACATGCTTCAATGAACACTGGTCATCTTCAGGTGTCTCTAAAACTGCTGATGAAACTGCTGTGCTTCTGTTTGTAAGTTCAATTTTTGGAATATTCCCTTGTCAATGCACCAGTGGTGATTGGTAGTTCCTCTTATTCTGTCATGTGTAGCTGTTATGAATGATTTATAGTAAACAAGTAAACTTAAGTTCAAACAAATAGTTTATCACCAAATGGGCTGGTGTAGTGGTAACACACTAGAGTTGTATTTCAGGAGTGCTCAGTTTGAATCTCAACAAGGACTGAGGATTTGTGATTTTCCTCAGTCCCTCCAAGCAAATGCTAGGATAGCACCTCCATAAGGCCACAGCCACTACCGCCTAAATCCTTTTTAATTCCTCATTCATCTACCATTTGACATTACATAGGCTAGCTAGTGTTAGCAGCACTAAATAACCCACATAAAAAGTATATTCTTACCTAACCTTCCATAAAATCATCATTTTTAATAATACATTTTAAATATTCTTTCTTCTGTTTGATGAAAACAAGTCTAGTAAGCCATACATTACTAGAGAAAAATCTTGGAAAAGTACAAAATATAAAATATATTTTAGGCTAACACTACTGCACAGCAAAAACATGGATGATAACCTGAAGGTTAATAATTTACTAACTCCATGGAGCACAGTCCTTGAGAAGCCAACAGTCAATCAGATACTCAAAGAATTTGCCAACAGGGTCACAGATATATATATATAATTTTTTCTTATTGCTAGTCGGGTGGGATTAAGTCCCTTGTATTGCGGCCACTTCTGGCCTATTGTACCAGCCCAAGATGATAGGTGAGGGTGGCTGTGGAGCAACTGGTGGAATCAAGATTGGCAGGGGAAACTGAAGTACTTGGAANCAATCCAGTCATATTTTGTTAATACACCAATGTCTGGAAATGCTTCCTTTTGGCAGTAATGGCCACAAAATTTTCCAAGAGGATGCATAAGTTTTAGGGGATTTTATCGTTGTTTTACATTATAAAAGTTGCTCAAAATGGTGGCTGCCAATTTCATTGCATGTTCTGCACCACCTTGCCATGTTATGCTGAACTCTTTGAAAGATTCCTGACATTTCCCAGGTGGTTCCTGCTGCTACTTCAATTCTTGCCACAAGATCAGGTTGTGTCTCCACTGGAGACTCATACACCAGGCTTTGCATGTAGCCCCAGAGAAAGAAATCCAGTGGAGTCAAGTCAGAGGAGCGAGGGAGCCGGGTTATTGGGCCTCCACGTCCCATCTGTCTGTTGCCAAAAGTTTCATCCAAATACTCACGGACAACATTACTGCAGTGTGCCGGGGCACCAAAATGCTCGAACCACATTTCACAATGTACTTCCAAAGGCACTACTTCCAGCAGCTCGGGTAAGGTCTCTTAGAGAAATGTTAAGTCAGTGTCACCAGTAAGCCGCAGAGATAAGAGGTCCTCCTTCACATTCCAGAGGCCCTTGCACTTAAAGCGTTTCCAGACATGAGTGTATTAACAAAATATGATCAGACTGAACCCATCTATCTACCACAGAGCATTGTAACATGTATTTATTTATACCCTGCATATATATATATATACACGAGGGGGTACCCAAAAGAAACCGAACTTATTTTTNGCAACATCAGCAAAACGCTGAAAAAAAGTTTTGATCATTTCGGGACTCTTCTTTCAAAGCACAACATGCTTCCACGCGACCTTGTTTTTGTTCAGCAGTCAGCAGTCGTGGCACGAATTTCGCAGCCACCCTTTTCATTCCCAAATCTTCTGTCAAAATTCGCTGAACTGAGCTCCAAGTCACTCCCGACAGCTCCACAATTTCTTCAATGGTCCGTCGTCAATCTTCCTTGATGATTTCACGAATTTTTTCAGCATTTTCATGTGTTTGGGCCATGGAAGGACGACCAGAACGAGGTTTGTCATCAATTGACATTTCACCATTTTTGAAACGGGAAAACCACTCAAACACTTGAGTTTTCCCCATAGCATCATCCTTGTACGCCGTTTTTAACATTTCAAGAGTTTCTGTTCCACTTTTCCTGAGCAGAAAGCAGAATTTCACCGCCGCACGCTGTTCACAAAAATCAGCCATTGCAAAAACGACGCTCACACAAAACAGTTGTCACTATAAACTCTGCCAAAACTAGTCATTACCTTCTGAAGCAACGGTAGTCGGCTTATCGACTCAGGAATGTTAGCTCTATGTGCTCATAGCGGCAAAACGCAGTACTACAAAAACTCTGCCCACAAAAAAATTAGTTCTGCTTCTTTTGGGTACCCCATCATGTATATATATATATATATTACTTTCCTGAGGAATACTTAAGGGAAAACCAGAAGAGAGAAAATATTTGGTGTTTGGAACAAAGTCAAAACCCTTTGTTAATGAATTAAGAGAGATTACGAGTAAATCAATTTAGACTTGCAAAGAGTCATATATGTGGAGTTTCTAAGAAGACAGTGACACCAGAGATGGCAGGTAGAAGACCTAGAGGTCAAAGGTTGTATCAGCTGAATGAAGAGAATGCAAGAATTATGCATGGCAAATAAAAATGCTGAAGATACTTAATCAACCCAACTGGTTTCTATAAAATTTTTGCAGAAGAGAGGAGATCCCTCACACACACACTGTGGGAAGTAAAGCTCCTTTAATTGCTGTCACATATAATGTAAGGACATGAGTAAGTACATACTTTATCTGTTTGACATATCAGTTTGAATTTGAATTTAGTAGATGTGTGTACAGGTGCAATTCTCATGTAATTTCAAACAAAACTCAAAGAACACATTCTGGATGCCTTCAGATTACAGAAGTCATACTTGACTACAATTATTACATCTGAATTTTGAAATATTAACTCTAAGATATATTTGACATAACTTTGACTTCATTAAAATATTACCAAATGCAACTGCCCAGCAGTCTCTCCTAGCATCTCCCTCAGCTGGTTCCATGGTAGCTACAGGTTTGCCCTTTTGACGAGGGTCCCACACTTTCACACTGCCTAAATGTAAAGGTACAATACATAAATAAAATACTCAAATAACCTGTGTCAGTATCTACTGTGTCTGTAATTAACTTCACGGTGCAAAGTCCTTAAGAACCTACCAGTAAGAGTCATGAAATTCCATATCTTTTATGGTACATAAGATTTATTACTATGTTCCCAAGAGCCCATCACTGGTCCCTATCCTCAGTCAGTTGAATCTAGTCTACTCCACCCTATTTCTGTTAGATATATTGTAATATTATCTCCTTACATGTATTTATCTCCAGTCTAGAAAACCGAGATTAACAACAGTGGATATCCGTTGCGCTGACCACGACACCCTCTATCAGCAAAAGTTGGCACTCAGTTTGCCATCAAGTGGTAGTCACTCGGTCGGTATAGTTCACTTGTGGACTACAGGCCACAGAGTTGGTTTCTTTTTTGTTACGTATTTGCCGTTGTTCCAATGCATTCTACATATACTCATAGTATCCTCCTTGATATGGTCACCTCAATAATAAACAGTTAACAGTATATATTATGGAGTTTACCACAGAGCAGTATTCTCCAGCTTCCTGTTCTATTTCTCTTAGGTTCTGTCAGTTATTCTCAACAACTTCATCACAACACCCATAACTTCTTACATTTGCAATTATGCCACTACAAGTCTTCTAGAAAGTAAAGTAAGTAAAGCTTTCCCTGTAACAGGCCGTGAAGGCCCATAGGGTTGTGAGATGTTGAGGGTCCCACATTATCTAGACAATCGGCTCATAGATGGCAGTTAGGTTGTCAGCCTTACGCACCAGCCGCGCTTTACTCGCCTGGAAAACTATTTAATTAATACCTGGTACTCATTTCTGTTAGAGACTGAGTCGACCCCAGGGTCATAGTGCAGCTGGAAGGATTAGGTCAATTGAAAAAATCCAATGAACTCATCAGGACTTGAACACACGACCTTCCGGCTTGTAGCATAGCCCCTCAACCAACTATACTACCGCGAATTCCAAAAGCCTTCTAGAGCAAATATAATTCTTTATACTTACTGCGCCAAAATCTGTGTGAATTACACCAACAAATTTTGAAAATGAAATAGTCTGAAGTTTGTTGCAATGTTCAGAATTTCAAGAATACAAGAAAGGCCTTCCAGCATTTCCATACTGTCTACCTATTCTAGAAGCTTCTCCAAAAGCTAATGTTTATGAATAGACACCTACAGATTCCACCACATGATTACTTGACAAACATTGAGATAATAATGTCCCTTCATAAAATTTTAACCAATGCACAGTTTTCATGGAAAACGTGATTAAAGCTGAATTTGGTGTGCCAACACGATGTTGATATACATGTACATGCCCACAGATTCTATCATGCAGTTCCTTGATAAAATTTTGACAGATATATAACTTCAATGGAAATTATGTTTAAATTTTAATGTGATGTGGAAAAACAGTATGTGTTCCACATAATAGGGTTATCCATGAAAATTATACTGTGGCACATTTGCTCAAAATAGAACTGTAAAGCTAACAAAGACAGCTGTTACTAGAAAATAGCTTTTCCACAAAAATTATACTGTGGCATATTTGCTCAAAACAGAACTGTAAAGCCAACAGAGATAGCTGTTGCTAGGGAATGGCTCCGCAAACATGCCTATTGCTAGGCAGTGGCTCAGTATCTGTCTCGTGATGGGCTGCAACAGACGTGCATGCAATTATACAAGAGCAGTTGGAAACAGTGCTTCATTATGAGAGAGAGAGAGAGAGAAGGGGTGGGGGGAGTCTGCAGGCAGTGAGTTGAGACTTGCAGTTGTGAGAAGTGAGAAGATGGTAGTTAAGGCTGGTGACATTTTGTGAACCAAGCGGAAAGGGAATGTCCACCCTTGGAAGCCGCTATAAAGCAGTGCAGTGAAGACCATGACTGAGAACACTAGTATGTGTGTGACAGTGTTTTGTAAAGCATAGTCATAAGCTGTTTCAGAGTTCCATAAAACCGATTACCAATCCAAACCCTGTCTATAGTCACTCTATCATGTGACAATATATTGATCAAAATTTGATCTAGAGGCACTTTCATCTTAATATTCGTCAAGGATTCACATGATGAAATCTGTAGGCATGAATTTCCAGACACCTGCATATTACATCTCCCTTAACTTGTCATTGAAATTTCAACAGATTTTGCACAAGCGAACGTTAATGAGCAGAAACAAATAAACCAACTATGCATCAAGTGTAAACCGTGTCTTGTGTCTTGTCAAAAGACACTGTTTACACAGAATATAAGAAAAAGGACCCCCACAGTGGAAGAACCACACGCAAGTTTTAATTATGACACATAAGATGAATAATCTTAACAAGTTTTAGTGTGTGTAAATTTATTATAGTTGACAAATATGCACTTTTTAAATACTTTTAAATAATTTTATAAAGGCAAGCAATGAAATAGATTAGCGTAATTAGGGCACCTGATGATGGCACTATGTTGCCGAAACATGTCGTGAAGTAACAGGTGAAACTGAGTGCACTACAAGACGACAACTGTATACATATCATGGATGAAAATCAGTGCAACAGGACGCTAAAATACAATATTAGAAATTTGAATTACTGAAATTGATATTCCTTAAGAAAAAAAGCAAGAATCAAGGAGAAACATTCCAGTCTCAGCACAAATATCGTCATACAAACTTAATCCTTAATGTCCGCCATTGATTTCACAATGGTCATGCAAAGAACACCAAATTTTAGCAGCACTACCACTGTACTGGGTAGTGACATTTAACACACTGGCCTGATGCACTGAATATGTCAGACAGTGCTGCTATGGAGAAAGCATGAGCATTTGATTTCGTACAATAATAAATCTCACCATCTCTGCTTCCAGTTACAATTTCTGGTGCTCCACATCCAATATTTTGACCTCCAATGCCATCTATACTATTGATTATCTCTTTGTGGGCAGCTGCTGAATATATAGGAGCTGTTGTATCTTCCAGATTCCTATATGAAATATTTATAATCATACAAGTACTAACAGGAACCAACTAATAGAACAAATATATAAAAATATACCAAGATTAAATCAGTTACTAGCATCATATTTTTGGAAAATGGCAATATTAAGAAACTGAGCTTATACCCGAGAATATTCAGAGGCAAAGTGACTGAAATGCACTCATACAACAAAAGCATAGGATAATATTTCATGAGATGTAACTTAATATACTTTCTGTGGTATAATGAAATTTGTTGTCACATCCTTCTTATAATTTGAATACATTTTATCATAATGAAATCCAAGACCATAATGCAGTAATTCAGCTATACGATTCTTGCCATTCTGTCTCCAAACTATACATTATTCACATTTATCTCATTATTTTTCAAACAGTTCAAACCATATACGAGGGGGTACCCAAAAGAAACCGAACTTATTTTTTTTTAAACTTATTTATTCAAATTTTAAGCACAAACCTTCAATCCCCTTCAAAGTACTCCCCACTTACACTAATACACTTGTCTAGTCTTTTATTCCATTTTTCAAAACATTGTCTAAATTCATCTTTTGAGATGCTTGACAGCGCCTCCGTCATTTTTTCCTTCACCTCAGCAACATCAGCAAAACGCTTTCCTTTCATGTCTCTTTTCATTCGAGGAAACAAAAAAAAGTTTTGATCATTTCGGGACTCTTCTTTCAAAGCATAGCATGCTTCCACGTGACCTTGTTTTTGTTCAGCAGTCAGCAGTTGTGGCACGAATTTCGCAGCCACCCTTTTCATTCCCAAATCTTCTGTCAAAATTCGCTGAACTGAGCTCCAAGTCATTCCCGACAGCTCCACAATTTCTTCAATGGTCCGTCGTCAATCTTCCTTGATGATTTCATGAATTTTTTCAACATTTTCATGTGTTCGGGCCGTGGAAGGACGACCAGAACGAGGTTTGTCATCAATTGACATTTCACCATTTTTGAAACGGGAAAACCACTCAAACACTTGCGCTTTCCCCATAGCATCGTCCTTGTACGCCATTTTTAACATTTCAAGAGTTTCTGTTCCACTTTTCCCGAGCAAAAAGCAGAATTTCACCGCCGCACGCTGTTCACGAAAATCAGCCATTGCAAAAACGACAATCACACAAAACAGTTGTACCTATAAACTCTGTCGAAACTAGTCATTACCTTCTGAAGCAACGGTAGTCAGCTTATCGACTCAGGAATGTTAGCTCTATGTGCTCATAGCGGCAAAATGTACTACAAAAGCTCTGCCCACAAAAAAATTAGTTCGGTTTCTTTTGGGTACCCCATCGTAGAACAGTGTTCTTTAATAAGAGATACATGTATATAATTAACTGACTGCCTGACTAAGGAACCAGTCATTTCAGTCTCTGGTTATGGAACCCAAAGGTTCAATAATGTTAATATCAAAACCTGTCCTAGAATCAAATCAAAGGTAGTTCAATTCAGTTCACATTCCCATAACATATATTTCCAATATTATTTTTAACATTATTTTCCAGAATTCCTGTGTCCTCAAAATAGCTATTTTTTCAGTTGAAGATGGGGTTAAGACAAGAATTTGGGGGTGGGAGGAAATTCAAGAGTTGACACAAGAGCAAGAATGTTGTCAACAAAATTTTTTCACTATAATTACAATTTATAAGGCTAGCCGCTGAAATGTACTACTTATACATCTTGATATTAGATCCATTTTCAATAAAGAGTTTTCATAAATTATTGTATTAAAAAATTAATTCTTGGGCCATGCCCTTTGTCACCACACGCAGAAGAGTTTGGGGGGGGGGGATTTGTTAGCCCTGCCAACCACTGCAATTCTGATGGGCTGAGTAATTATATGTAACTGCATAAATAAATGCAGTTATCTGAAGACTCTAAAATTTTGAGACTGAAAAATTTGTGTTTGAATCAAGATCAAGGCACTGTTTCTCTTTATTCAAAATAAAAAATTTGAATTGCACATACCTGCAACTTACAAAACACCTCAAGTTATAGTATTTTCCATTCCCCATTCATGCACTGAATCTACCATGTAGTCACACATGCTTGGTACATATACAGGAATTATGTTAACCATCAACACAATAAATATACTCAGTTTTAATGTTTGACAATCTGATCTTTTATTCCTACTACATGTTTTGGTCATGGAGTTATATGTAGGAATATATATAGTTATTGAATTACTGATACGGATCCATATCAGTACAACGTGTCGTATTATATACTAACATAAAATTTTTGCATCAAGTTGATGTTACAATTAAAGTAGAGGATATAAAACAAGATAAAAGATAAATATTGTCATGTGTTGTCTGTGTGACGTGACAAATAACTTCATGCCAGTCACCGATGTAGTGAATATTTATTGTACTTTGCTTTTACACTTGCATACTTTACAGTATCACAATTACTGCCTCTGCTATACTCCACTTAACTGAAGCTTTCAACTCTCAACTTCCACTGTCTTCGGCGGCTGCTACATTTCAACTTCAACTGTCAATCATCAACTAATTGTCTCGTTCCTTTACAACCTGGTTTCGGATGGAACAGTGGGCACCTTTGGCCAGGGTTTCATTTCACGTGTTCTATGCTTGTTACCGCATTAATGCATTATTTCCGCTGTTTCAACAATTCATTGCCACAGCTATTCCTATGCAACCGTCAGTTGGTATTCGCTATGTTGCTGTGGGAACTCGACAATTTCCATTGTTTTCGTTGCTCAGCGATGGGTGACATATAACATGTTACAATATAAAAAGTATACCATATATCAAGATTTATAATGTGTTGAATATGGAATATTAAAATCATTAAAAGTATTTTTAAAATGTTTAAAAAAATATTAAAAAGTGTAATATTGTGGGTTAAGAATGTGTATGCCAACTTAAATACTAAGGTTCCAATGCTACAGTGTAGAAATTTGGCATGTACATCACTAAAACTACATCGAACCAACGCACAGTGTAGAACACACCGAATGTATATACACCCAGATAAGAAACGCATACACCATATTGTATAATTATATAACAATACATATCATGAAAATTGCATTCCTAATATACCACACATTAACAACCTGTACATCATAGAAACTTGTCTTTGGGCTCCACAACCGGCCTTACTAAGCAGAAAGCTTCTACAGTAAGACCAATACACAGCATTCATGCCCAGTTCCTACACAGTAACTTTGGGCTCCACAACTGGGCTTACAAAGTAGAAAGCTTCTACAGTAAGACCTACACACAACATACATGCCCAGTTCCTACACAGTAACTTTGGGCTCCACAACTGGGCTTACAAAGTAGAAAGCTTCTACAGTAAGACCTACACACAACATACATGCCCAGTTCCTACACAGTAACTTTGGGCTCCACAACTGGGCTTACAAAGTAGAAAGCTTCTACAGTAAGACCTACACACAACATACATGCCCAGTTCCTACACAGTAACTTTGGGCTCCACAACTGGGCTTACAAAGTAGAAAGCTTCTACAGTAAGACCTACACACAACATACATGCCCAGTTCCTACACAGTAACTTTGGGCTCCACAACTGGGCTTACAAAGTAGAAAGCTTCTACAGTAAGACCTACACACAACATACATGCCCAGTTCCTACACAGTAACTTTGGGCTCCACAACTGGGCTTACAAAGTAGAAAGCTTCTACAGTAAGACCTACACACAACATACATGCCCAGTTCCTACACAGTAACTTTGGGCTCCACAACTGGGCTTACAAAGTAGAAAGCTTCTACAGTAAGACCTACACACAACATACATGCCCAGTTCCTACACAGTAACTTTGGGCTCCACAACTGGGCTTACAAAGTAGAAAGCTTCTACAGTAAGACCTACACACAACATACATGCCCAGTTCCTACACAGTAACTTTGGGCTCCACAACTGGGCTTACAAAGTAGAAAGCTTCTACAGTAAGACCTACACACAACATACATGCCCAGTTCCTACACAGTAACTTTGGGCTCCACAACTGGGCTTACAAAGTAGAAAGCTTCTACAGTAAGACCTACACACAACATACATGCCCAGTTCCTACACAGTAACTTTGGGCTCCACAACTGGGCTTACAAAGTAGAAAGCTTCTACAGTAAGACCTACACACAACATACATGCCCAGTTCCTACACAGTAACTTTGGGCTCCACAACTGGGCTTACAAAGTAGAAAGCTTCTACAGTAAGACCTACACACAACATACATGCCCAGTTCCTACACAGTAACTTTGGGCTCCACAACTGGGCTTACAAAGTAGAAAGCTTCTACAGTAAGACCTACACACAACATACATGCCCAGTTCCTACACAGTAACTTTGGGCTCCACAACTGGGCTTACAAAGTAGAAAGCTTCTACAGTAAGACCTACACACAACATACATGCCCAGTTCCTACACAGTAACTTTGGGCTCCACAACTGGGCTTACAAAGTAGAAAGCTTCTACAGTAAGACCTACACACAGCATACATGCCCAGTTCCTACACTGTAGCACTGGAACTTTAGTATTTAAGTTGGCATACACATTCTTAACATACCATATTAACATTTGTTAATAAATATTTTAAACATTTTTTAAAAATATTTTTAATATTCCATAATACATTCAACACATTATAAATCTTGAAAATGGCATACATTTTATATTTATTTTTTATGTTATTTTGTATCATCTACTTTAATTGTAACACCAATTTGAGGCAAAATTTTTATGTTATGACATGTTGCACTGGTATGGATCCATTTTTTTTAATTCGCATGGTGGGGGGTGGAGTCCAACTGGGTCCACTCAGCACAGCAGCCACTGATTAGTCTATTGTACCTGCCCCGGGTGATTAAGATGATGAAATTGGTGGAATGAATATTGGCAGGGGAAATCGGAGTACTCACAGAAAACCCTCCCCAGTGCCACTTTGTCCACCACAAATCCCATTTGACCAGACCTAGGATCGAACCTGGGCTGCAGCGGTGGGAAGCCAGCAACTAACCACTTGAGCTATGGTGCAGCTGATATGGATCCACATCATTAGTTCAATAACTATACATATTCCTATATACAACTGCCTGATCATGGTCTTATATGACTGAAACACGTAGTAGAAATAAAGATAAAATTCTAAAATATTGAAACTGTGTATATTTGTTGTGTTGATGGTTAACATAATTCCTATATATATATGTCTGTGGAACACACAACAGGATGCAACCAACGAAGATATGCTCGGTACAGATTTTACTTCATTAATTAATGTAACACTCAAGACAATCAGTATATCAGCAACTCTTGTTTCTCAATTAATTATACTGAACTCTCCAGTTATCATTACAAATACATTTAGTGTACAATCAGAATTATTTACCTCTTTTGGTTACCTCAAAAATACATATACATATTCCAGTTAATCAAGTGAACGGCATATTCTTACCATATATTTAACTTTCCTTCAAAATCACCTGTGGCCAAGTATCGGTCTTGCAAACTGGACGCACCATAAGTGCCACATTTGAAAGCCTTTGTTTTCTCTACCTGTGTTTAATAAAATTTACATTAGTTTCACATGGTACCTTTAATAAAACAAAGATATCTGAATATAAACATATATTCAATTAACAGCGTGTACATAAACAATGGGACTAGATCTATCAAAGTAGTGGATGGATTTAAAAAGTGCAATAAAACACAAATGGTAATGATCTATTAACTTCAATTAGCATAAAGTATCAGTTACGTCATTTCATGTCAAATCAACATGGCAGGTGGAATATCTTGGACTTAATGAAACTTTGTAAGTGATAAATATGAAGTTCTTCCTTCCTATGTCAATAAATTTCAAATTTACTGCATTTTGAAGCTTTTTAACTTTTCCCACAATCTGATTCACTGAGATGCTTATAACATTGTTCCTACTTACGACAGAGATCTCATTGTTCTGCCAACTGAAAGCTCTTAAGTGGGACTCTCATTTGGAATGCCACTCAAAATGTTTAGGATACAGCAACATTTTGACCTTAGCCTCTGGCCTCACTTTATAAAGAAGACACACAGCAAGATTTATGAAAGTTTTTCCAAAACATCTTGTGATTCTTTCAGTATTTTCATTTGGGATATAAATGGGCTGATGATATGTGTGTACATTCACGAAAACAGGTTTTATATACATACTGTTGCTGGTATCCTGGATTAAAGATTACAGCAAGCTATCCAGGTAATACAATGTTAACAGGAAAGACAAAAATGAGGCCCTGCTGACTTATTCTTTTAAGTAAGAAGTATTATCTGTAAGAGTAGCTACATAAAAAGTATGTAAAGCTATCCCTGTAAGAGGCCGTGAAGGCCTATAGGGTTGTGAGATGTTGAGGGTCCCACATTTTCCACACAATCGGCTCAAAGATGACTGTAAGGTTGTCAGCCTTACATACCGGCCGTGCTTTACTCCCCAGGAAAATTATTTAATTAATTACTGGTACTCATTTCTGTTAGAGGTTGAGTCGACCCCAGGGCCATAGTGCAGCTGAAAGGATTAGGTCAATTGAAAAAAATCCAATGACCACATCAGGACTTGAACCCATGACCATCCGGCTTGTAGCATAGCCCCTCAACCAACTACGCTACCGCGTGCCCCAAGAGTAGCTACATATAGTCTGCAAAGCCTAGTTTCTAATTTCTCAGTGGGGCAATTGAATATCTATTCACTCATAATATATATGTGCAGTTTCTGGATTCAAATCTGCTAACACTTTTTAAAATTGAACCCAGATAATATCAGGGGGTGAAGGATGCATGAAAGATTTACTGAGCCAGAGGGATGGAAAAATGCTGGTTATATTTCACTGTCATTCACTTCTAACACACATGCCAGCCACCATTTTCTGTCATGTTCACAAGTTACAGATCCTCTGGTATCTTCACTTGATAATCGTTTAATATATGTGCAATACTGAACACATCCGCTTCTGAAAACACTTCTAGCTGAACTTGGAATCTTGAGGCAAGAATGACAAAATGTATTTTCTAAGCACCTGGAAGTGTTCAAGCTTTGTTGAACATAACTTCAAATATCATAATTTCTTTGCTGTGTTCTTTTATAGTAAAAGAAAGGTAAAGCTAGCCCTGTAACAGGACATGGAGGCCCACAGGGTTATGAGAAGTCGAGGCTCCCACATTTGCTAGACAATAAACTGACAGATGGCGGTGAGGTTGTCAGCCTTATGCGCTGGCTCCCCTCTACATCCAGGAAGATTCCTGGTACTCATTTCTGTTAGAGCCTGGGTCAACCTCAGGGCCATATGAGGCCAACTGAAAAACTAAATGACCTCATTTGGAACTGAACATGTGACCTTCCAGTTCTTAGCATAGTGCCTCAACCAACTATGTAACCATGTGCCCCCTGTTCTTTAACAGTACAGTACTCAAAGGTGACAGATAATCTTTACAACAGGCCACTCACGATGTGGCCCTATTCCTCTACATCAGGAGATGTAAATGAGTTGTCAACTTCATATCACTGCTATCTTACCCCTCAGGATATAGCTCTGGTATCCATTTGATAGGAGGCTGGATGGGTCTCAGAGACAGTCTGGACACTATGGAGAAGAGAAAAATTTCTTGCTTCTCTTGGGAATCAAATTCCAGTTGTCCAACCCACAGCCTATTTGCTATACCGTAACTGTATAATATTCAGCACTGAAACTCAAATGTTTACACTGTCCATGATTCACTTCACAGCAGATACTTCACCTAAACATGAACAGAAAGATAAAGGTAGGAAAGAGCAGAGGCAGTTGCCACCATTCTCACGGAAGAATGAATTACACCATTCTTATCTAAAACTTACATTACATTCCCACTCTCCCCTACTTTTCTTGTTATGTGGAGCGACAGGCTTAGAGTATTATCATATCTATGTGCCTGTCTTCCATACCAACTTTTGAACCAACTGCCTAATATTCAGAAAACTTGGTATGGCGATCATGCCACTAGTAAAGTAAAGTAAAACTATCCCCGTACCAGGCCATGAAGGCCCATAGGGTTGTGAGACATTGAGGGTCCCACACTGCCTAGACCAGGGGTCTCCAAACTTTTCGAACCGTGANCGCACATTTTTTGCCAAAAATTCAAGAGGAAAACTGGGGTGCGGCTTATATTCGAAATATTCGAAATCATACTTCATTTAAAAAAAAATATATATATATATATATTCATAATTAGTAATACAGGATGTTCTACTCCTGAAATAATATTCCAAGAAAATTATTTTTTTTATAATTTCTGTCTGAAAATTGTGTTGTGGCCTATACACGCATGCGGCCTATACATGCGTAAATATGGTAAATTGAGGTTAAAATTTTGAAAAGCTAATCACAAGTAGCGACTTTAAATGTTCGTCGAATAAATTTGTCCTGTATTTTGACTTGATGGACTTCATCTGGGAAAAAGTTTGTTCACACAGATATGTCGCCCCAAAAATGGAGATAACTGTACAAGCAAATTTCTTTAAATTTGGAAATTGCTCAGAGTTCAGAAATTTATAAAATTTGATCAAATTTCCTTCCTTGTATGTCTTTAATATGATAATTTTCCTAAAGTACAATAATTTCCATTTTAATTTGACTTGGGACATCTGCTGCATCGCAGTCAAACGGATTTTGAAACAATCTAATTTCCTGAGCACTGGCATCCAAATCAGCAAATCACTTCCAAAATTGTTCTTTTAAATCTGAAATGACTAAATTTGCAAACAAGGAAGGAAATTCATTGTCACCCTTATTATGCAACTCTGCACAGTATAGCATATGAACAAAGTTACAATTTTTCACTTGGCTTTCCAGAAGTATCACCTTTGCTATGAATGCCTTGATAAGTGCAAATAAATCACATTTCTGCACAATTCTTTCGCGGGCCGGATAAAATCACATCACAGGCCGGATGTGGCCCACAGGCCATAGTTTGGAGACCCTTGGTCTAGACAATCGGCTCAAATATGGCGGTAAGGTTGTCAGCCCTACAAGCCGGCCACACTTTACTCACCAGGAAAATTATTTAATTCCTGATACTCATTTCTGTTAGAGGCTGAGTAAACCCCAGGGCCTAGTTTGGCTGGAAGGATTACGTCAACTGAAGAAAATTCAATGACCTCATTGGGACTTGAACCCGTGACCTGCCAGCTTGTAGCATAGCTCCTCAACCACTATGCTACTGCGTGCCCCCCCATCATGCCACTAGAGGATTTTTATCTAACCATCAATTAATAACATTATCAGGGCCATGTAAAGTTTTGAGTTTTGAGCAGGCATGGAAGGAAGGATGTCATGAGGCTCAAAACAAGCTGGTCCAGCTAATATCAACCAATACTGTTAGATCAAGTTATAATTGCCAAACCATTATTAGCACATATGATAAGTTTCTTCTGTGCCTTCACCTTTCATAACTTCATATGTAACAGTCTTTCCTACCATATTTTTAAGTGTCATACTCCTCTGGTATATTTAGCTTTTATAGTGTTACATACTTTTCAATTCTACCTTTTCCTTTCCTAATATGTGTTACTTCTTTCTTGGTTTTCCAATATAAATGAAAATGTTCTATCGATATCTTCTTGCTGTACACCTTACTTTGACTCTACAATGACACTCAATTCAGGGTGTTATGAACACAATTTTTGTGACTATTTCGTGTCATATTTTCTAATTGTCTAGTTTTGGCCTCCATTCAATAATAATGGCAAATTAAATGATTACCTTACAAAATATTAATTCATTATTCTGTATGTTGTCTCTGTAATATTTACTTTATACTATGTATCCTTTGAAATTTATCACATTTTAAATTAATACATTCTTTTTGCAATGAGATGTTACAACATGAAATTTTAAACGTTTTAAATTTTAAACATGTTTCCAAATTGTAATAACTACTACTTTAGTTGGTACAACTTTTATCCCATACACGTTTTTACAATATTCCTGGTAGCAGAAACATTCATCTTGTATCGGCCATTAATTCAACAGCCTCTGTGTGTGAGGCAAACAATACCAAAATAATTTCAGGATACCTAACCTAAAATTTAACTTCGTATGTCATTCAGCCACTGATTTGTCAACTTCCATAAGAATGTACGTGTGTGTGTGATTTTCCAGCTATAACAGGTAGTCTTGCCTTACTCCTTGATCTAACCACTAGAATTTTGAAGTTTATTTAAGCCACGTTACGTTAAAATTCTGACGGATTTACTCATCACAGTCACTTCGCTATTTTCTTAGGTGTTTCACGTGTATAATTATGGGAGGTTTAAGGCGAACACAAGAGCCAAGAAATTTACGCCACTTATCTGGTCACATAAAGTCAGAACTGTACCTCTTTTACGAGTTGGATATCACCTTCGTTTATTTCGTATACATTTATAACACCAGTTCCTCTAGGTTTCGAGCCCAGAACTACAAACTTTGCTGAACATGGTATCCAGCGACAATCAAATAGTGATAACGATGTGGATTTTTCTGCATAAGTTATTACTTGCGGTTTCTCCATAACTTAAGCCAACACACGATCATCATTTATTTACATGTCACCTAGCAACCACGGGGAACCACTGCCGGACGACGCGCACGGTCATTTCTTCATTTCTCCGCTCAGTTCAGAAAATTGAGAACGGTACAGAAGCTTAAAATAAAACCATAAAACTCAGCAGCTCAGCAGGAACCATGCGTACCGAGATATACCACAGGCAGCGCTTCGCGTGCGTGTTCGACGTATTCGACTGAGCCAGCTTTACCACTGGTCCGTTCCACGCAGACCTAACGGACGTTTTTAAATCGTAGTGAGGGTAGTGAGTGTTGGATTTATGGAATTCCTTCACGCATATTTTAGTACATCTCTGTGCAGATTTAATGTTGAAAGTAAATATATTGTGAAGAGTTCTGTCTTGTGGAATACATCGCCGTAGTTCGTTGGAAGTCAGCCGACGTTTCGGAGGAACTTGTCGCCTCCATCTTCAGGGTCGAACAGTAAGCCAAGAAGGAAAGCAGACATAAACTTCTGGCAGACTACACGGAATCATAACCCAGAAGATGGAACGCTTCATAACCATAGCTGCAAGAACCTCAAATCCTACACCATTATATATATTTATCCTTTTGCAGTGTTATTTAAGCTGCAGGATGTTTCACTAGATGACAGTGTAAATATGTAGATTATGTCATTTGCACTTGTTACCTTAGGCCGGGTACACACTAGCGAGCTGTTGCATGTAACGTAACGGTTACTGTAACCACATTCTGTTAGTGGGGACGCCTTCCGATCCACGCTCGCTTACCTCGGAGTAGGCTCGTGGACGCTACACTCGCTTGCTCGTAATGTGTATGTTTCCTCCGAGCCAGGAGTAGCGTTGTGAATCGCTAAGGAGTGGGACGATGAGAAATGCCTAAATTTAATTGAAATCTACAGGAACAAACCGTTACTTTGGGACCCAAAAGATAGAAATTATTATAAGAAACACCTGAAAGACGATGCATGGGCTGAAATTGGTGTTGTTATGCATGCGACTGGTTCCGACTTCAAGTAAAAAATGGTGAATTTGCTCGCATCACCACACGTGAATCAATCCCTACGTGACAGTCTGTCCCCTACGACCAACACACAAAGTGACATGTACTCCGAGTGGGATATTACCGAACTGGTTTGACATGATTTGAATCTTTTGTGTAAACAACATGTATGGATAATAAATGACACAATAAAAACAACTGATACATACCTTTGTGGTCTTTCAATCCATCAGTGATGGCTCCACATATGTCTGCAACAGTAGAGCTAATACTTTGCTTGGATATACGGAATAGATACTGTACACTTGTAAAAGAGTCACCAGTCGCCAAGTATCTCAATGTCACAGCTAATCAAACTAGCACCGAAATCGCCTCTTTGAACTTAGTGTTTCTTTCCCTGATCCTAGGTCCAACCAGATTAATCAAATATTCGAAGTCAGTTGGATTCAGGCGGGTGAAATTTTTGTAATGCCCAGTAATTTTTTACGATTTCAAATCCAAAAGAAAAGCAGGACCGCTTCTCTCTTTGTATAGTGCATGCTGCCAGAATCTTTGTGGGCGTTTGTCGTCGTCAATTAAGTGGTGTATCAGGATATACGAGGCACTAGCAATTGATTCGGGCGATAAGGAGGAAGACATGTCTTCATGGCGAGCTCACCATGAGCAGTATGGATCCGGTCGCTCGCAGCTGGTTACACGACGACTATGGACGTGTCGTCCATACGAAGACGTGGTTACAGTAACCATTACGTTACATGCAACAGCTCGCTAGTGTGTACCCACCTTTACGTATCAAGAGACACACAGTAATGTTATATCTAGAGATGCCGTAGGTATATGTGGAAACCTACCACAACGCATCTCCAGGCCAACTACCAAATTCTGGTCGGCTGGCAAAACGAAGCAAGCGCTAACCAATCAGCACGGACCATGGTAGCATCGGCGCCCATTGGGCCGATCACCTCTGACACAGCCGATACACATGACGACCACATCGCTCTGGTAAGGCTTGTGAGCCAGTAAAAGTAATATCTGGTCATGAGCCCCAGCCGGGGCTCGATACCAAGACAGACAGACTGACTGACCATCAGTTGCAACATGACTTTGACTTTGCGAGCCATTGGAAGCTGCTGGTACTTCGTGTCAGCATTGGAGCGCGCATGGCAATAGTGACCAACCTAGCAGCAATGCCGCCAACCGACTCCCAAAGTGGCCGCAACGATCCTTGGGAAGCCTTCCGCCAGCGCCTGCCGTTATACGACCGCCATCACTCACACAAGCCAGCCCGATGCGGCTGGAGCTTCGCCGTCATTAATCAGGAATTTACATGGTTGTCTCTTCAAACACTGGAACCGACGTCCCATATTGGTGACCCCGATGAAGAATGGAGACAACGGTCAGCTTACCACCAGAGGAGATGTCCAGAGTGACCGTGCGGCTTCCACTGTTCTGGGCCAAGCGGCCAGCAGTATGGTTCGTCCAGGCTGAGGAACAGTTTACTTTGACAGGCATCAGCAGTGAGAGGACCAAATTCTGCGACCACTGGTACACCGTGAAACTAGAAGACATCCTCACTTCTCCACCGGTATGAGAATCCTACACCACGCTGAAGACCGAACTGGTGAGGCGGCTGTCCCCCACAGAGAGCAACACAACCACCAGCTCCTTAAGGTCGAGATGGGCGACCACAAGCTGCCCGAGTTTTTAGGCACCTCAGGAGCCTCGCCCCAAATGTCTCCTCCGAAGCACGTGGTCTGGCTGGATACCCCCCCACCCAACATAATGGTCATCTTCGCTGGCCAGCCCGAGGGCAGCTTAGTCGCCGCAGCCCACATCTCCTAGGCTACATCCCAGCCAGAACTCGCGAGCGTTGTCCCACTCCCTGACAGTACCGCACTTCTGCAGCTTCTCGAGGACCTTTCTTGCCAGGTGGCAGCACTCTGTGCCAAGTGGACCCACCATCACTCCAGCTCCAGGAACTGCCGCCTGGGCATCAGACCCCCTCCTGAAACGACACTGCCGCACTCCCTGCTGGTACCATCGCCGCTACGGAGCCTGGGCCCAAGAAAGTACTCAGCCTTGTGCCTACCGTCGGCAGGGAAACTAACGCAGCAGACATCAATGGCAGCACATGTATGCGCTGCATGCCCTCCTCTTCATCACGGTCAGGTTTAGTAAACAGCACTTTATGGATTCGGACCTCTGTGTATACATCCCCCACCCCACACACAGGCTTATTCTGTGATGCAAGGAACGTGTCAACTACAATCTCTGTGCAGCTAATGGCACTACCATCCCCACCTACGGATGCCTGTCTCTCAGCCGCAATCTCGGACTACACTGGGATTTCACGTGGTGGTTCGTGGTGACCAATGTTATACATCTCATCAGTGTCGACTCTCTCTACCATTTTGGTCTCCGTGTGGACTTCTGACACAACCACCTACTGGACAGGGTTACGTCTATTTCAGTGTAGGTACATGAGTGTAGTTTGTATGGGGTCATAAGTATTTTGGTTAAATTTTTATTTTTACTCTTTTAAATAGCTTTTCCATTCTAATGAAAAATATATGAGGTTAGTATTTGCATACCACACATATTTGCGCCAATTGTAAACTACTGTCAACAAATCTGTGAATCTGTCTATTCAATTCAGATGCTGCCTAAATTAAAAAGCAGGAAACTGTGAAATTAAGCAGCCAGTAAGTTTTATACAATTCTGAATATTTATGAAAAGGCTTCCCATAGCTTTGGAGATGGGACTGAAAAATTTGTCTTGTTATCATTTTCTATTCCAAAACTCTCACACACACCTCTCTACTGGGATTCATGACATAACTAATGCTAACACATATTACAGCATATAAATTAGTTAAGAGGCTGCATTTTATTGTTTCAGTGTAGTTTTCTGCCAAATTTCATGTCTCTATTTTAATTTCACAGCCATTTTCTTGAAGCTAACGTGGGAATCATACCACACAATGATTTTAAAGAAGCACTTGGAAGATGTACAATTTCATGAGTCCTAGAAAAGAAACTGTGCTGTGGCGATGCACATCCCTGTTGCACATTCTCACCAGTTTACAGCTCACCTGCTGCATGCACCACTCTTTCCCCTACCCCCCCCCCCCGTCCTCCCCCCCCCTTCCCCCCCCCCCCCCCCCCCCCCACTTCTGTCATCTTTCCTATGGGGCAATGTTTAGAACCTCAAGGCAATGCTTATTGAGGCTTCATACTGCACAATTGACTCTGAATTTTCATCTGGTTCAGATATCTAAATCCGTCTTGGTTTGCTGTCCACCTCCTACAAGCAACCTGACCCATATGCCACCTGCTGTAGTAAGTTAGTTTTGGTTCCTAAGGATCGGGATTTTTCACTGTGGGACCAGAGACAAAGAGTTTGAGTTTAAATCTTTGCTTTATTTCCCAGTCATGTCTGATATATTGTTAATATGCTTGCACAAATTTTACATTTGTAATGTTCATGCATTTTGTTTGTGTACACACCCATGCACATATNAGTGCCTCAACTAATTACGGCAATGAGAAATGGAAATGGGACAAGAGGATACGAAACAAGAATAAACAAGACAGAAAGGAAAATTGTTGTTGTATTTCGCTGGTCATGCTCGTGAAAAAAAAAAAAAAAAGAAAAGCAAATTCTTTGTCTACAGGTACAAATTTGCAGTTCAGTTAACATTCTCACTATTGCACCCATGCATTATACATTTATTTTATACTGCATATGAAAGCCAAAAGTAAAAGAAAGAAAAAATATAATAGTTAACAGATACATTAATATACATTTATTCAAAGAAAGCAATTCTTAAACCTAATGCAGACAGCTTTTTTTTTTTGTGGGTACCAAGTTGCCTATATACTATATCAATGCATTTCTCATGTATTATGCCATCATACATTAACTAAATTTTTGTGTTTATAGTATACACTGTTCAATCATGCATATAATTACACTTCGCTTTAGACACTAAAGTCTCATATAAGGCACAGGAAGCAGGAAATTAAAACCAGCTTATGATTATTAAAAAAATACCAGCTGAAACTTGCCTCATGTGAAATGTATATTATTGAAACCTGAAAATGTTGTCCACTTGCTGTGGTCAATCCCAGCAGGAAATCATCTCATAAGAACTTCCATATGTTGTTATTGAAACATCCTCTTATTTATATTGTGGCATGCCAGAAAGCCGGAATGATTGATGAGATCACAATTGATTTCCTAGGCAACAACCAACGTTCCCACTGTAATGCTGCAATCGGAATATGTCCATTGCTACACCACAGCTAACAACCTAACAGTGGAATTTCCACCGTTATACATGAATTGTTGAAGCAACATTTCGATAGCAGTGAGCGGAAAGAACCCTTTGAGATTGTATTGATTATCTAGTCCGCATAGAAGTTTTAAAGGTCCAACTGTGACAAGAGATGAGTGCAGTTTGCATGTGACCTCAGAAGAGTAGTCAGTCTTCAGTTGGCTTTGAAGCAGTAATTGTGATTGTGAATGATTGTACTTCTGAAATTCCAATAAACATATTCGCTAAACCCGAGACCTGCGTGAATTTTTGTCGCATCATATAGGCAACACACAACAATATATTTTGTTGCAAGTCATAATTTTGCACAATCATGCTATTGCTTCGATTACATTGATTCATTCTTACAAACTAACAGAAAATCAGGGCATTCCTGAAGGTAGTTAGAGATATGTATGTTAAGAGATTTAGTGTCTTGAAATTGACCAACAAAATAAAGTCTAGCAAAGACTGGAAAAAAACATAACAGCATGTCAAGAATGCTAATGAATACTTTAAGCTGGACTTGTAGTTGACAACGGAAATGGAAAGGTTATAATTCAAGAAACAGTGATTAGACTGTCAGGAAAGTACCCAGAAGACTTGAGAGTAATATTTTGTATGATATTCAATCTGCTAGTGACATATATTCTATTGTAATCACTTCTGTTCATTTAGCATGAAGGTATCTTTTACATTTATATTAATACATTTATATTTAACAAATATGTACTTATGTATTTAAAGAACTCATTATATAAAAGTTACTGACAGGTTCAGAATTTTGCTAAGTGTCGCAGAAGGGCCATAGGCTTTGCAGATATCGTGTCAATACTCGTTCCTGGATCTCTATTCTAAAAAGAAAAAATACAATTAAATGTCAGAACAACCTGATTCAGAGATTAGAGCAGAAACCTCTTAAATGTGATACAGCAGTATCCCCACAGTGCAGGAATCTTTACTGTTTTAAAAACAGTCACTTTCCGAAAGATTTTCTATCAGTGCCTTAATGTGATTTTTGTTTACTCCA